AACCTGTGTAATCTCTTATCAGGTACTTGACCGGTGGTCACTGGCGGGTTATGTCACGAAGATTGGTCAGACTGGAAACCCTGCCCTGTTACATTGGGTGCTCGGGTGGCTACCGAGAGCTAGGTATACCCATTATCTGTACCTTTATCACCCGACAACTCAGCGATGTGTTCAAAATACAGTGTCAATTATGACAAACACGCGATATATGTACTGTACTACCGTAGTGGTGTCAACGCGAGTCATGTTAAGAAATGTGTACTCAAACTACCGTAGTCGTGTAAATGCGAGCCCTCTTTACTTATATGTCTAATAGAGCTCCGTGTGCTTTGAAACCGTAGTCGTGTCAACCTGAGCCCTGTTTGACTTCGTGTTTTATACTACCGTAAGCATGCCAACGTAAGCCCTGTTGATCTCATATAGCAGCAGTATAAGATATATATACGTACTCTGGGTTTTTAAAGCTGAACGCCAACCTGATCGCAGGATGGTACCAATGTTAGGAACTTTGGGTTGTCTTTGTCCGGAGACAGGCCCAATTGTCCTCCTTCGCTTGGTCGAACACTCAGCATAACACCAAAAGCAAGGTATTACTAACTTAAGCATTAGGAAAACAACATAAAAAGTAGTTAGAGAAGAGAAATAATCAATTAAACATTCCGAAAATTTCGTGTCCCAAAGTAGAGAGAGGGAAAAGAAACCCCCAACTTTGCCAAAGAGACTACGGTACATCCAGCAGGTTTACGGTACATCAATACAAGGCCACATAGACGGGCTATATCGTCTTTCTCGTCAGCTATTTTCGACATAGACGACGGGTATAAAGGCTTGTTATATATAACTGTGGCATGTGTCGAGTACACGAGAAAAACATAATTTCTGCCGAATCAGCCGAATACACCTCCCTGATCAGAGACATGTGTTGGATTGTACACGTGCGTAGGAGGGTGCACCTTACCTTCCCTAACAACTCTCTCCGCGCGGCCAAATGCATTAGATATACTTACATGTTGTAATATATATATACAACGTAAATAATCACTAAAAGACAACAGAGTCTTAACTCAGTATACACAAAATAACATATGCGTTATTTTAATTTCTAAATCTTTCGACACTTTGCTTGGAAGTATTTACCTAACACAATATTACTTTAGTAAGTATTTGACAAAGTCTATGAGCTTGTGGTGTGCCGTCCGTCGTCCACCATCCGTCAAATTCTCCTTTTAACAGCTTCTTATGACGAAGTGAATGACCTAGGATCGTGATAGTTTCCTTATATTAATGGATTTGACATACTTCGATCAAAAGGGTCAAAGAAATTCAGAACTTAATTAAAAGCAACGCCCTACACACTAGGTGCGTTGTTAATAGCATGGAAATTATTGGTTCCCTATTCTATAACCATATACACTTTTGCAGGGCATTGAAAACATGAAAACATGATTGGTACCGTTGCCCGGTCCCGCCCCTGGTGACTTAGTCCCTGAATCATCGAAACGAATGAGGTTTCCACCTTTTAAACCTATATATTCACCTTACGCAATAGAACAGTCAGCTAGCATAGCTTCTGATCACATAATCCAGAAATAAAGATAATAGCCAGCTCACATAGCTCCTGATCACAACATTCACAAGTAAAAGAGCGGCCAGCAAGAGGAGCTCCTGTCCACAATATCAACAAGTAAAGAGGCGCCAGCTTGAGTAGCGTCTGGTTAAAATATTCAAAAGCAACGAGAATAAATTGTCAGTTATAGCAGCACCTGATCACACTATTCACGCGTAAAGAGAAAAGCCAACTAGATTACCTCCTGATAGAAATATTCACGCGTAAAGAGAAGGAAAAGCCAGTTAGAGTAGCGACTGATAACAATATTCACAAATAAACAGAAAAGCCAGATTATAAAATATATGATCAAAATATTCACAAGTAAAAAATGCCAGCTATCGTTTTATGCCTGGTCAAAATATCCTCACGTAAAGAGAATGCCAGCTAAAGTGGTGCTTGATAAAAAAATACTCAGTAATATATATAACCGGAAGCTAGAGTTGCACCATATCACAGGATTCACAAGAAAATATCTTTTCTAACAAGCGCCTGATCACAATATTCAAATTAGACAAGAACAGTCAGTTAGCGTTACGACTGAAATAACTAGCGTAGAGCCTTGTCACAATGTTCACAATAGGTAGGAGAAGTTCCAGGGTTAGACACTAACGGTTTTTGCTCGGTAGTCCACAGGACTAGTTGAATACATTTTGTACTAGTCCTTCGCCAATGTAACATCGTGATCTACGGCACGAAACATCAAAAGTAATCGACTGTAGTATAGGGGACTTAAAATAATTGCCATACAAATATTGTAAAGGTTTTGGGAAAATTATGACAATTATCATGCAATATATCTTATTTCAAGCAGTTTTCTAAATTTAAAAAAAGGAATATTCTTATTTTATAATCATATTTTTCACAAGTCCAAATGACCAGTTAGGTTAGGTGATTCACTAGATCTATTAGTGTCAACCCCTGAGAACAAAGAATAGCACATTGTCACATTATTTATTAGCCGATATGTGAAATACGGAAATACTGTCACTTTCGAGGACACGTGCCCATATAGGAAACACGAAAATTAAGTGTTATATAAAAACACTTGTGTACTCTATATATGGAATTCACACTATAATCCACTCCCCTCTCGTTACCGAGTGGTGTCACACGTCGCTGTAGCAATCGAACAGTCACGTGATGTTTAGTGTGAAGTGTGCACTTGTACGCATATAGTTCAGGGAAACACGCACTGTTGACGATGAAATAATAACGTCGTAGGCCGGGATGTCTAAAACATTGTAAACAGAAACTTCCAAATAAAAAGGAACGTTCGCTAGAAAAACACTCTAGTGTAAGTGTGATTCCGTGCATTGATTTTCCTATTCGTTTTGGATTTACGTTTCAAATCTTGTTTAATGTAATGAGATCAGAATATTGACACAGAAACATATGACCGTTGGAAAAGTTTAGTTTGATTTGGTCAGCAATCCCTGACATTATCAAGTTTGACCCTTGACACAGAAATGTCCTTGTTTACTCTATACTCACTAGAGATAGAACGAAATGACCATTACAATAGTATTGACCATTGTGACATACTCATACCGTCATACGTACAAATAATAAATAACAACCATCTGATACAGAGAAAAGTTTCATGACATTTAGAGGCTGACCATTTATATCAATAAGCTTGAGCACTAGGAAAGAGGTTTGCTCTTGGCGCAGATATCTGACCGTATTTCAGGTCTCTGGACATGTTTTCCCAAAACCTTTAATGGGTCTCATTACTATGAGATATGGTGGTTACCAAAAACTTGAGGAGTCCCACAGGGAAATTAGGTTCCATGGCCCGAATTCATGAAACCATTCTCATGCTCAAGTAATGATTCTGTGCTACATCAAACTTTCTTGTAACTCCCTTAAATCAGATGACACAGTTAAATGTCAAGTTTAAACAATTCAATATAGCATTCGGCTTGACCTCCCTTAAAAAATATTCCAACTCATCCACAAATTGTCATTTAAATTATGTTATCAATGGAACAAAAAAAAATGGGCTTGAAAACATAATTTCTGTTTGAGCACGAGAACGGTTTCATGAATACGGACCCGGGACTCAAATATCTTAGTACCAAACATCGTTGCGGGGTGTTCATTTACAATGACTCTCTGAAATAAAAATAACTCACAACCAAAATAAAAAAAATGACAAATTCCGTGACATAGAACTGTTTTTTGCAGAAAATCGATTTAACACTTGACTGTTGCATTTCAGTTTTCAAATTAAGGAAAAGAAAAGATTTATACGCCAGAAAATGTCGCACTAGCTTGTCTTCAAACGTGGGATGACTGGATTATTTGAGTCTCATTTATAAACATATGTTTGTAAGATTTCTTTTTTTTTTAATGATAATACCTTATGCACTGCTTTGGTGTTCTTCTGACTGCGGTCATAAGTCAATTGTAAACATCACTGCGTTAAATACTTATTTCAATTTTGTATCAAATGGCTCAAGATGGACAAACTGTACGTCAATGTACATTAATATTCCCTTCTGCACTTCCGATTACGGAAATATAGCCCCATGTTTATCAGTCCTACAGGAAACCATAATTGCAATTATAGCAAGATATCATATCGAATTCTTATTTACGGAAGTGCTAAACTGTCCTGACGATATATAAATTATGCATCCCGACTGGGAATTAGTTTAAAAAACTGAGATTTATCATTGGGGTAATAAGTATTTGAAAACGCATGTTTTATATGAAGGTCATTTAAAATCATGTAAGTGTTCTTGTTTAAAAAACACCCGGCACAAAAAACATGATAGTTCGTGTTAAATCATGGACTTAGATAGCAAATTCAGTAGTTAAATACTGGATTAAACTACACGCTTATGGTGCGATAGTGACTTATCAAATGTAAAAGTACTTCGATATCTTGAAAATCCATATATGGTTGATGAATAAGGGAGTTTTTCAATTATCTTTCTAAATGTATTTTAACCGCATAAAATTATCTGATGAAACTTTGTTAGACCTTATAATGTATCACTGTCTGCTATAAATAACTCCTTTTTTTGTATCCTGATGTACTAAAATATTAAGAAATGTAGAAAATGAATCATTTGTGTGATCTGCATATATTAGTATTGTTCCCCTATTAATGACAATGCTGTAGGACTAGTCTACTATTGAAAGGGGGAGTGGCTACTCCAGGGAAAGGTCGTGTATTATACACAGCACGGATGTTGTCAGAGAGGTTCCGAAAAACGTTGTTTCTATGATCAGAGACGATAAAGCACGAATAACTCCGGAAGTCGTCACGTGATCGATTACCTCTGGCGGGGTGGAAAGAGAGACCCCGAGAAGATATACCATCTGAAATTGTCTCTCGTTCTCTTCGCTCATTGCCTGCAGAACATCGAAGAGAGGAGCCAAAATGGCGGACGGATACTATGAGGATGGTTACATGGAGGAGGAAGAGGAATGGGATAGAGAGGGATTATTAGATCCGGCATGGGAAAAGCAACAGAAAAAGGTCAGTTTCCCTGCTGTCATCACCCGGCATTCTTCCTATTTGTTCTGTAAAGTACACAAGGATAGTAGACCCAATACCCCAATACATGTCATGTCAACACATAGGACTACGCTCTGTGTGCAGTAAAGTGGAATTAAACCTTTTCGGGAAAGTAATAAACCGAGATAGCAGTGTGTTGTGGCTTTGTGGCAGCCATGTTTTTCAAATATGGTAGCCATATAAGGAAGCGACGTAAATAGGGCGGAGTTATGTGCTAATCTCATAATGGATTAATCACCGAGTGTGCAGTTGAAATTTTATTCGAATTTTATCAAAATGTAAAGACTGTGTCGTTCGCTTCATTTGTTCACTACGGATATACACTGTGGATCTGTGCAGCAGCCACGGAACAAGTGCTATCCTGTTGGATATAAGGCGTACCTTCGTTTGGAATATTACACGGTGTCCAGTCATTTAATTATGTCACACTGAGGACAACTTACGGGAAAACATGTCAAATGTCCTTCGTCTATTTCATTGTTGCGTTCAAATGTTTAATTATTAGTAAGATACAGGTAGGATATGAAAGGTAAGACACATTTGTGAATGACAGTGGCACCTAGTGAAATATCACACCGGTAGTTCGTTGTACGCATGCCCAGTGGAGTGTAAGATATCGGACATGTGGATAAAATATTGCATACCAGAAATAGTTCTACAAATAGTTTATGTATGCAACGCCAGTACTTCAATCTATTGAGCTATTAAAGTGTTCTTAATGCACACAAGTCAGAGTATTTTAATGTTGTACATCTTTTAGTTAACATTGAGGCTGCAATATTATGTATGTGTGAAGCATATGTAAATGGACTAGCCCATGCCCAAACAAGGCTTCAGCCTAGGGGAATCCACACCTCAGGTAGCCGGCAAACCTGTAAGTCATTAGAGTAGTGTCATCAGTAGGGTGTAAGAGATAGGATGGTATTTACAGGGGATCAGTGTAACCTCCTTAATGTACTGTGGTGTATTATACTGGCAGCATATAATTAATACAATCAGTGGAAGAAAGGGCAAGGGAAGCACATTTTCCCAGGTGGTTCTACTGACTTAAACTTCTTATTTGCTGGAGCACTGAATTAAAATAAGGAATTGACTTGAAATATCAAAATAAATCAGCAGTGAAGTAGTTTAATACAAGATCCTAATCAATTTCTGGATACAAAGCTGTAAATATTCTCTACAAGAATCTGACATTGACCATTTATTTGTTTTTAAATTTGATAATAAGATACTTGGTACTGCTTCCTAATTAAATAATTTTCTTATATGATTAATTGATAGGTTGAAACCGCCCCATATATATGATACATAACATAATAACCTTTAACCTTTAACATTGTCCTTGTATTATTATAAAGTATATAGGTAGACCATTGTCTAGTTAGTGTTAGGAACATGACTACAATAGTTTACAGTGTACCCTTAACTGTTAATACTAAGGTTTCATCATGTATGAAGTATCAAAGTCTATGTAAAATTTTTTCTAGTACTAATTAACTCATACAAACTTTTGAAATATTCAGTATTGATATAAACACAGATAAATGAAATAGTATGCGAAATATTGAGTAATTTTAATTAAAATTTAAAAGCTACATGGAGGATATTTCTTTCATGTCTACGTTAGCTACATGATTATATGATTAGTGGCCAAATGCTGTGATGAGGTAAACATGTGCCGAGATGTGATGTAATCAAGTGGAGATGTTGGAGATCATTAAACACATGCCAGTATCCATACAGTCGGAGTGAAACCAAACCATACTGCCAACTCAGCTTATTGCTGGTCTACATGTACCTTGGTTTTCTGACTGCAGCGTTATGTTAAATATAGAAGGTATATTGTTTTATGCGTTTACCTTCATGTCTGGCAAATTTCCAGTATAACAGCTTGTAAGTTTATCTAAGAGTAAAAGATACTAAAAATGTATCTTCTGGTCAGGATAGAGGCTCTTTATAGATAAATACAGAAGAAACAAACAATTGTGTGAGCTGACACAGAAAACAGTCAAAACACACATATACAGTGTTTCATTAGTATACACTTGACTGACGTCCCGGTATGCTGAAATAGCTAAAGGTGAAATACCATGACACTAAGGTTATCAGAAACAGGATATTATTTGTTTTAAAATTTTGACATGAAATTTACATTCCATGCATACCTAATCCATGTGTATGTAAATGAGGATTGACTTGTCCCAGTAGGTGTGTCCAGCTAGCTATGACATCATTAAAATTGAGATAATCTCTGGCAGTCCTAAAAACAGTTTGCTGTTTCACATGTCACTGTGTCAGTAGTAGTTACTTTTTACTGTAAGGTTCTCTGACAGGTCTGTATAGGTAGTAGGGAAGTATATGATAAAGATCTGTCCCCATGATCCAGATACTCCTCAAAACATACGTACAGCATATGCAGCTACTAAATGTGTCATCAATTCGGTTTATCTCCGTCAATATTACCTACAGAAGTATGCTTCTTACTGTCAGTTTATAGCTACATGTATACTCGAGTCTCATCGTTATCAAATCCTCCTCTATGTATACCTTTACCTGTAAGTAAATACAGTAGTACATGTACACTTGAATGTCGGTCAGAAGCAACTGCTAGTGCCCTACATCTGTGCTCATCAGATTCTATAACTACAGTAGTATACTCAACTTATTAAAGTTACTGTCAGTAATTAGGTAGTACCCTACATCTGTGCTCATCAGATTCTCTAAATACAGTAGTACACATGACTTACCCTCAGTAATTAGCTAGTACCCTACATCTGTGCTCATCAGATTTTCTAAATACAGTAGTACACATGACTTACCCTCAGTAATTAGCTAGTACCCTACATCTGTGCTCATCAGCTTCTATAAATCACTACAGTAGTACACATGACTTACTGTCAATAATTAGCTAGTACCCCTACATCTGTGCTTATCAGATTCTCTAAATACAGTAGTACACATGACTTACTGTCAGTAATTGGGTAGTATCATGCATCTGTACTCATCATATTCTATAGCTACAGTAGTATACTTTACTTATTGTCAGTAATTAGCTAGTACCTACCCTACATGTGTACTTGACCTATCCTATAGTCAGAAATTTATAGCTAGAATCCTCCATATACACATGTGTGTGTACTCAGCCGATTCCATATGTAGCCAAAGGCTTGAAAGAGTTCCATAAGAAAGGAACAAATATACTAATTTAACCTGAACATTCCTTATCCACTTCACTACTAAATATATGAGATATGTAATGTTGGTTCTGTTGTGAAAAAGTCTTGTGTACATGTAGGAGATCTATTCAAACAACAACTTGACAAGAAGGGTTTTGAGTTTTATTTGAACATTTTCAAATTTCTATGTTTTCTTTATTTGGACCTGGCTCCTGTTTACCCTAGTAACCCAGGATACCTATTTCCCGATAATATCAAAACTTTGGGCTGATGTACTTTGTGTGAAGGTCTTATTCTTATCAATAAGAAATGTGTCCCATGTTTATTTATATACATGTAATCCAGTATATGATGTAAAGTAACAGGAAATAAATATGTTATAATAACAAGATATGTAGTAACTTAAAGCAAGGGTTGACAACATCCAAAGATGGCCGTCGATCTCTGACATTCTTTAACTTCTTACACAATTTCTATGAAGTCATTTTCATTAAAATCTCAGATGGTTTAATTTTCTTAGAAATTGAGAAGTAACTAATTGGGTTTGTGTATCAACAAACAAACAACTTATTTAACAGTGAACTATGACATTCTAGTAGAGTATGAAATTTTGCTGTCATATATTTACTGTAAAATAGTACTTGATGTGTATGTACGATGTCAGTGAGCTGACACATTCCTCACAAGCCATCCCACTGTAAAACATGTCCAGGTCAATGTATATATTACCTTCCGGGGGAACATATAAATACAAATACGTCTACACGGTCACATAGTTTTAGCAACCACTATTTTACCCCCAGGCTGCACACAACTGTTTCTAGAAATTAAAATTAATGAAGATTTAAATGTAACACATCAGTGCATTGGAGCATGTCATGTTGGGAGAGTTGGTCTAAGATTAGATAAAATATTTTCAAAGTGGTTATAATTAAGAGCTGTTTTCAATTTCAATAATTAACTTTGGTCTAACTACAAGGTTAATATTTAAATTCACACAAAAGTGTCATATGCATGTCATTGAAATCAGGTATACATGTCAGATTTGAAATTTATTTCGATTTCTCAAGAATTTCCAGCTGTCTAAGTGAACCTTTCCACATGAATCAGATATTTTTTATAGTGACTTTTTCTGCCTCATTGACATTATTTTATTCATCACCTGCCCAGATATGCATCTAAAACGTTAATGAATTTTTGCACATATACACTGGCCAATTATAAAGCCACTACCTTTGGTATCTGATATCTAATGTCTTGCATCTGTTACTTTTGTCCTCAATTTCTATTTATAACTTCCAAAGAAAGTAAAGGAAAGTTCCTTCAAGCTTTTACAAGACTTTCAATCTAACCATCTTGTCAGTAAGTAGATTTGTAAATGTAGCAAAAAACAATAGCATTAGGTGTACAATGTGCAAAATTCACACGATCATGCTGCTGATTTGTTAGTTGTAGCTATAGGTACATCATCTGTAAAATAGCAAGTGACAGAAAAGTCAGTTTCAACCCCTGGTGTGTACAGTATATATTGCAGAGTATACAATACCATACATGAAGGTAGTGATATGCTTAAAAACAGCTATTACGGTAGTAATTACTTTTTTGAAACATATCCATATTCCTGCTAAATGTGTTATAAGGTGCATTGTGTTATTGGATTGCTTACCATACATTTATAATGTATGTAAATTAGGTCCCAGATCATTATGTGACAAGACTTTCCTTACAATTTAATTGGATCACTGCATTTGAATATACTTACCATCAGCATTTGGTGAATAAACATGAAGATTTATACCATTCATTAAAATTTGATCAGAGTACAGCTGTACATAACTTAATGCAGGTTTAAACCAATGGTAATGTAGATGGTATGGGATGATACTTGAATGTGAGTTATGTGGCAAGTTACTATAAAGTTATATTAGTATGCTTTATTTAGATTATAAGGTCAATCACCATGTAACTACTTAAACAAAATATAGTTGGATTTCTGCTACCTGACTGATACTACTTTTTTGTTGCCAACCACTTTTTTGGTGCCAACCATAAAACATTTTATGGCTTACTTGATATTTTTTTTTTGTCTAATCCTATTTTCTCTGGGTTTTATAATTTTTGGATTCGGCTCAAGATTAAAATGAATCCAAAGTACAAAAGAAAATGGTAGCGGACACATCTCTGTACAATTGGCATACTATTGTATATACAATATAGGTTAATCACTATAGCTACTGTCACTAAGTTTGATTGATACCCTCAGAAGGTTTGTCTATTCATCTTTCTGGTATAAATTCATCAGGACCACTGACATAAATGATTACATACATCACAGTCATGATCATCCTACTTTCAGTAGCTACAATCAATTCTGAAACTGGAAGTCACTTTTCATAATGAACACAAAACAAAAGGTTGTCTTGGAAACTGTCTTTATTTATAGGTTTATTGTGCATGTAGGTATCATACCATTGCGGTGATTTTTACAGACGAAAACAGCCTTCTCCCCCCCCCCTGCCAGAAAAAAAGAAAGAAAAAATGTTTTATTTTCCAAAAATAAAGGAAAAATGAGGAATATCTTTCCGATTTCAATAAAAAAATATTTCTATATTTTCCCAATTCATGTAGGAACAGGCTGCTGTAAAATTAAGGAAGAAATTATATCACTGCATTGTAAAGACAATTATCATAACTTACCAGCTGGTGTATAGAATGTATACAATATCAGGTTTTCAAGAAATACTGAAATGATCATGCAAGAAGTCCAGTTTTCAGTAGTTGACTTTTGATAAGTTATATTTCAAAAAAATACTGCAATTATTTTGTAATTATAGTCATCACACAGTTTTATACAGGTAAAATAGACATACATCAAAAAGTCTGAACACCTTTGAAGTCTAATTAAGTTCTGGTATTCTGATTAGTCTTTTAAAGTCCTTTCATGTTTCCGCAAGCAAACAGTTATTGTTCAAAACTTACATATTTTCAAATGGGTCTACTAGGATCGTATTGTATACAAAGTAGAATCTGTTCATAGTTTTGAAAGGACTACACAGTAACAAGTACATGTATACACCACGCGAAATCCCATATACACAAACTAAACACTACAATAGCAATAGGAAGTTTACATAATCTGTTGATTGTAAAAACTGGTTCACATGGTTATTGTATTCTGTGTTATTGTAAAAAATCACCAATACAAACTCATAATTTTAGCAGGGGCTTAGTGGAAGTGATAATTCCTTTGCTGAACCTACTGGTAGTATTGATATCATCATTAGGTGTGTGGAGGATTTCTGTATCCTAATTAAATAAATCATCATTAATCACTGTTTAATAATCTCTCCTTCTTGTTTCTTTTTTGCAGACATTTACAGCATGGTGCAATTCTCATCTAAGGAAGGCAGGAACACAAATAGAAAGCATAGAAGAAGATTTTCGAAATGGATTAAAGTTGATGTTATTATTAGAGGTTATATCTGGGGAGCAGTTACCTAAGCCAGACCGTGGAAAAATGAGGTTTCACAAAATCGCCAACGTCAACAAAGCCCTTGATTATATTGCAGGCAAGGGTGTTCGACTGGTCAGCATTGGTGCTGAAGGTAGGTTTTTCAGTGATGAACAGCACTGGTGGTCAAGCTTATCAGTCTGACATATATGCTTACAGAGACAATTTAACTCATTCACCCCTGAAGACACATTTGAACTCTTCCAATTCAAAGATTGTAATAGTTCATTATCAAATTTCAGGGGAGAATTAGTTAAACAACACTAGTGGTCAAATATTCATTATACTGCTATAGCAATACTAGTGGTCAAATGTTCATAAGTCTACTAGCAAGGTTAGTGTTTATTGGTTTGCTAGCAACACTTCTGGTCAAGTGATGATAGTCCACCAGCAACACTATGGTCAAATTTAGTCTAATGAAACACTAGTACTATGTACTTGTGATCAGGTTTATATTAATGATCAGAAACCACAATTACTTAAGGGTCCAGTTTGTGCTGCTGATGAAGACCAGAAGTCCAGTATGTCATGTGATGAACAACACTGGTGGTCAGTTTTTCAGTGTATGTATATTATAACCATTATAAAGGAACAGCAACATGACCTTTTGATGCTTCTTAATGGTTTGGAAAAAATAAAGAGTGCTCTATATATATGGGGAGAATCCTAAGTCCAAAGATGAAAGGCTGTTTACTGAAATTTAAGCAAATGATCAATCCACATATATACGTAAAGATTATAGATTGTTTGGTTCAAAATAAGAAATGACAAGGATAAACTGGAAACTTGTCCTTCACACAAGTTTAACACAGTACAGAATAGCTAGCCTACAAACTCAGTGAGCAGCATCAATTCCAGTGAGCTCATTGTCTGGAGTGACATTGTACCCTGCTTCAGACCCAATAATCTTACCACTATTGAGATTCTATAGCAGTATTATAATCCTGCATGGGTGAGTCGGTCCATACAATGGCGACGTGATGTCCAGCACACGCCATGCTGGTATTGTATTATAGGGTAAGAATGGACCTCTACAGACAGTGGGTCAGGGAAGGCTGTCATATAGGTGTGTAATCATCAGGTACATCAACGCTTGTCCTCAATGGTTTGATGACTGGAATGGTCTCAACCATCAGATGTATTTTGATTAAAAAAAATGGGCAAAACTAAAAAGAAATGATTAAAACCATGATTTAAAGTTTTTAAAAGGACTTGGCTACATTGTCATCAACACTTTTGAGCCTGCTGCATCAAGTTTTGTGTTCACATGATAAACAAAGATGAGAAAAATATTATTGATATGGTGCTATAATGTCCATTGTTGTCCATTAAAACAAGATTACAACAACAAAATATTAAGAACTTATATTGATAAAAGTTCTTTATTGAACTCATGTTCAAAAAGTTAGATTTCTGCCATTTATCATTGACTGTGATATAAAAGCTGAGCCCCCAAACACAGCATTATTGCCTTTTTTTTATCAAAATCTGTTGAACGGCAAAATATGATCTTCAAGAAAAAGTTGTTGGTGTAATATTACAAACTTCTGCGATGGTGAAAATGACATTTGTAATCAAAATCTAAGAAATGGGTTATCTCTCTAAGCTAATACCTCTGTCAAAATATAGGAACCATTGCAGAAATAGAAACATGTCTAATTAATGTGCCATTTATTTTCCAGAAATTGTTGACGGCAATGTCAAGATGACACTGGGTATGATATGGACCATTATTTTGAGGTTTGCCATCCAGGATATTACAGTAGAAGGTAAAGTATTAAATGTGTATAGGTAACAGAATAACTACTGTTAACGTTAATGATATTAAACTGTACTGCAATAAAAGAAACTACTAATGATAAAGAGATTATAATGTTATTGGGTGATTCGCTGTTTGATGGCATTATGCTATCAATGAACAATAATAACAAGTGGAATAGCAATATTGTTAGGTTACAAGTTACAAATAGAATGACACGACTTTATTGCAAAGGCAAAAATGATTGTATTTCCCTTTGTTTTGCCTTCATATGTCAATTCACATAATCTGTAGTTTTATAATTTGGATAAACATGCATCTCTGGTGAATTGAATCTCAAAACTGTTACCATTTTTGTGTGTGTTAAACTCAATGTGGATTGTTTCCTATGTAAGAATATGTGTAAAGGGTTTCAAATGCACAATGGAGTTATTTTGCAAATTATATAGGGCACTATATAAATGTTGTATGTTATTATGATTTATGTGACTTCGACAACATGACCTTTATGTTGGCAGCAATCATTGGAATATGTCTTGACACTACATAGGCAATAGAATCACTTTAAACATCACCATTTGAGCATGTTTGTATCTTTTTAGTCTTTACGTGTATTTGTTACCATGGAACTTTGTTGCATTGTAGAATTGACAGCAAAGGAGGGCCTGTTGCTGTGGTGTCAGAGGAAAACTGCTCCCTACAAGAACACCAACGTTCAGAACTTCCATCTCAGGTAGCCGTTCCGCCCTCCTAGCTGTAATTAGCTGTAAACAAACCATGTTTTAACACTTACATGCCTTGTCTTTCATATATTGAAACATGTCAGTCATCATAAGTTGATAGTTGATATTACTGTGTAGAATACAATAGAACTCCTGTTATATTTTCCGTTTAACAATATTTGGTTTGAAAAGCCAGAGGGCAAAAATTAAGCTGGACAAAAAATTCATGGTTTTGTGGATAATATAATAACATGATCAATAATTATATAGTGTATGATAGGACTGCTGTCTAAAGTTTTTGTATTGGCATTACCCATATGACATTTGCAATTGAATAATATTTTGACCGATGTGGAATCTTAGAAAACATTCAATATTTACTACTAAATTTCTGCTATGGATGATATGTGTTCGTCATATATTGATGTTTTTGCTTCTGAAAGTTGAGGATTAGAAATCTGATATTTTTTTCTGTTTATACATGTTTCATGTTATGTGATGTTCATTTTTGCACCAATCCCTCACACACCTTATGTACATGTGTATGTGGCCTTGACAACACTGACACACAGCCACCTCAGTGACCTCACAGTGACCTTGTGTAGTCTGGCTAAATTTCATCAACATTATTTTCTGATTTTATTGAAACTTCAGTCATTAATCATTACCCTCTCATTGTAATAGGTGTCAAAAATAATGTGGAGTTATAACCAAGAACAGTATGCTGTAAATCAAATTGTTTTTGCCAGTTTTATTTTTGAATTTTAACAAGATATGGAGAATTCATCATGTACAAAGTCTTTATCTTTCCTATAGGTCTGCAATTTCAGAAACAACAGGAATAACATATTTAGAAATTGATAAATTTGTTTTTAAAGACCAGTTGTGCCATATTTTGTGGTTTCCATTAGTCTGTTATCACAGACAGATGTTTGAATGCCAATTTTTAAGTCACTCTCGGCAGGAGCTGGGTGGCTTATTTTGTCTATTGATGTAATTCTAACAACATCACTGTGGTATAAATAAGTGTAAATGAAAAAAAGTCGAGTAGAGTAAGCAATTGCAGTAGAAAATGACCCTATCTTATTGAAAACGTCAACTCATGCTGTGTTTTCCCTGTCAAAAATTGCTCATCTTCAGACGTCTGTTTGAGAAAGAAAAAATGTCCTCAAAATTCAAGGATTCGTTATTTGTTGCTAAGGATATACATGTGGCTGTAAACCCCCTGTCCAGTTCACCTTGTAATGTCTCCAGACTAACGTTACATACCACTGATACAAGCGAGTCGATGTGTAGCCTGCTGTTACCTATTTCAGTTGGAAGGATGGCTTGGCCTTCTGTGCCTTGATCCACAGGCATCGACCAGAACTTTTAGATTATTACAAGCTGACCAGGGTAACTTCATCAATCTTTCAGCATCTGCCTGGAATGACCCTATTATCATTTAATTTTTTTACTTATTATACATTCTTTTTGTGCAGATTCACCCCTTTGATAGTACCCTATAACATTATTTTACCTTAATTAATTATTTATTTAGTTTCCTGAATGCAAATGTGTGAAGTGACAACTGGTTGGATAAGTAAAACTAGAACTGCAGAATATTAATCAAATGTGAATATTATCAGAACGTATAGCTGATAAACGAAACGGTTGTGTGTGCTCTAGACTTTTCATGAGTGTACACTAAGATATTCAACCAGTTGTGACCTGCTTGGTATTTGTCCATATGTATACAGCTTATTTGACCCTCCTTCACACCTTCACACCTTCACCCTCCTCCAGCCTGTAAGTGTTGCTATGTTCTCAAAACATGTATAGACCTTTAAACCATGTACATTGACCATTTAACATCCCCTCTGTTGGATGCCGCCTTTCAGGTTTTTTGGTGCAAAGGGTTAATTTGAAACTTATATTTCCCATCTGAAGATTCCTTAATTTTCTGAATAACAACATACAAAGAAACGGTCAGAATTGAAAATCACTCAATTTAACTAAAATTTAAAATTTTTGCATTTTTGTTTGAGTGTGTTATATTTTGTGTGACCTTTGACCTTGTCGCATGGCTTGTATTCCAGTTCCCATGTTGGCACACAGTGTGTATGAGCTTGTTATACACAACATTTTGTGTGTCGTTACTACAGAATGGATACTGACAGCTTCCTTCAGTATGTGTTTGTAACTGTCGAGAAAACTATATAAAAACAAATGTGAATGTCGTCAATTGACAAGAAAGGAAGGTTTTGTAGTATTTCACAGATGAAGTAATTTTGAGGTTAGGTCATAGGTTAGGGGTAAAATGAGGTTTGGTAAAGCTTTAACTTTTGCCAATTTTTCTTATGTAGAGAAAAAAAAAAAATGCTGCTATTCTGTGTTTTGTGGATCTTAGCCTTTTCACCAGAATTCACTGATAAAAATTCAAATTTTGCATTTACATGTGTCAAATCTTATAATGAACAAAGTATTTGAGAAAATCTGCCATTTTTTATCTTATAGAACTTTTCAGATAAGTTTTTCTCTAACATTAACATTTTAATAAAAAAAATGATAATATTCTTTTGATAGCATAACTAGAGCATTCATGCCTCTTTTGTTTGAACTGTACTTCAACAAACAATACATGGTAAAATGTTGTGACAATTGTTTTTAATTAGTCGGTTAGAAAGATCAACAGGGAAAAAATTGCAACCATTTACATTGTAAATTGGGAATGAATAAGCTATAATGAAGGAATCCATTATCCATTCTCTAACTAGTGCATATTGCATTTAATGTTGATCAATAAGTTTGCTTACTTATTGCATGTTAATGTGTGTAGAGTGTGAAGTGTGAAGGGGTTTTGCCCCGTGAAGATATAGGTGGACTTGAGGTATTGTCCAATCAAAACATCGGACACTTACTGGCTGTGTCTTGACATCTGTGCCCGTTTCTGCATGTAACCATCTCATCCCTTATTTTCTTCAGCTTTAAAGATGGTTTGGCGTTCTGTGCATTGATACATAGACATCGCCCTGACTTATTAGATTACCACAAACTTTCCAAGGTGAGTCTAGCTGAAGGCTAGCACCGGGTGTAGACCACCCGCTGTACACAGTGTGTTGTCAACACTAATATCACATCACTATCAGCATCATTTGTCATCTATTTATGAAAGAGTTATTGTAAGGTTTTATAGAAATATCTAAAGGTTTTATATAGGCAAAATGAAACCAAATGGATACTTATCTTTTTCTGGTTAATTGAATAAAATTTATTAGACTACAACAGTTTTTATGGCATGTACAAAATTGAATTAACGAAATAAAAATCTTAAAAAAGTTTAATGAACCTTAGGCATCTGCAAGTAATGGAAAAAATGGAACGTTGTTTTTATGCAATTTCTTTACCATAAATTGCAAAGGAAATATCACTTTGAGCAGATTATGTTAAGTCCTCTGTTTTGAAATTGCTACAACAACGGCAAACCAGCCTTTATTTACCCTATTTGTAACCAATTAACTGCATTTCTGCTAATTACTAATCAATGCAGACCCTGTATATTTAGTGAGAGCTGTAGGTCCCATTTTAAACGTATAGATTATCCCACAGATTGTTGTCAAATACTCGCCTACAGTAGCTAGTTCCCACTCGCCCCACTCTGTAACACTGCATGTTGTACTGATTATGTTGTTATGTTACATAGTTTTTATTGATGTTTGAAAAATAGTAAAATTTCTTTGGCATGTTTTAATCATGGTTTTGACATCTTCAAGCCTTGAAAATATTTGTTCTGTGTTGAATATATAAATAAAATGGAACTGTTGACATTTTGGTAAATGTTGTGTAGTACAATTTGATATTATATAAATATGGATTCTATTTATCAGCTTAGCAATTTTCTCATAAATATTTATGAATTGTATGAAATTATTTTAAGTTTGCAGTGGAAAATATACTAAGTTTGATGTGCAGTGGAAAATAAACTATTACCAGAATTTTATCATGTAGTTTATTTGGAAGAAGTGTCAATGTTGTGTGTTTGACCATTCAGGACAGACCAATGGAAAACTTGAACCTGGCTTTCGATGTTGCTGAACAACACTTGGATATCCCAAGGATGTTGGATGCTGAAGGTACTAATTGTTGTATATTGTGTTTCACTCTACTGGTAAAACACAGCTTCTCCAAACACATTTATTTGCAACTTTTGTTTATTTGTTCCATCAAGGTTTCATATAGTATTACAAATATTGTGTATGGATGAGGTCCATATGACAGTTTATGAACTGGTCAGTCACTCATATAAATGTATATAGACCTCAGATTTGGTACATCTACCTTCATTGGGGTGACAGACTTTTGCCAGTCCAAAAACTGATAGATTAGCCTCTGTCCAAAATGGAATATTTATTTTTACATTTAGAAGTACAGAAATTAAACTTAATATGATATAATGAATGTTTTCAACAAAAAATAACAAAGAAAACCAAATATTTGGGGAATTCTCTCATGTTTCATATTTTCATGAAATATTCCACTTTTGAAGATACAAAAATCATTGTTTAAAGATGTTACTTATGCATATACTTAATTACAAAATAAAATTTTGTAACCTTGATATACTGGCAGTACTACTACCAGGCTGATAGCTGCCCGTTTATTTACCTAATTAAAATCGTTTTATGTCGACAGATATGGTAAACTCCGCCAAACCTGATGAGAGGTCCGTCATGGCCTATGTGTCCTCCTACTATCACGCCTTCTCAGGAGCTCAGCAGGTCGGTATCTAAACACCAGTGGCCTCATTACCAGGCATTAGTTAATATGTTGGTCATTCATAATCAAATCTGATCTGAATTCATGTCTGTCAGCATTAATTTGTGGTAAAAATTTCCAAATTATTGTTAAGAAAAGAATGAATCATGCATGTTGCTTTTAATTTTAATGACATCTCAATCTTTTTTCTCTTTTATTTTCCCAGGCCGAGACTGCAGCAAACAGAATCTGTAAAGTACTGAAAGTCAACCAGGAGAATGAACGTTTAATGGAAGAATATGAAAGATTAGCAAGTGAAGTAAGGATATTTGGTTTTGCTTTAAGTTAGCATTCACTCTTAACAGTTTAAATGAAAGTCATTATAGCTTTTAAAGCGGAATTAAAAAGTTTACTGTTATTGAAATTTTTCTAGACACAAAATTGTGTGAAAAATACAAATTTCAAAAAATACTTTTCTTCATGCTAAACATTTTTTTTCATGTTTTAGCTTTTGGAATGGATTGCTAGAACAACCCCCTGGCTGGAAAACAGAACAACTGACAACACGTTACCTGGAACACAGAGAAAGTTAGAGGAATTCCGTGACTACAGAAGGAAACACAAACCACCAAAGCTGCAGGACAAGGCTCGTCTAGAAAACAGTTTCAACACATTACAGACTAGACTTAGGCTCAGCAACAGGCCCGCGTACATGCCCACCAATGGAAAGCTTGTTTCAGTGAGTAGTCAGACAAATGGTTGATAATGGACCTGTCTTGGATATTTACTTAACACTGTTTTCTGTATACTAGACCTGTTTTGGACACTGAATAGGTGTAGAGCTAATGTCTAGAGTACCAGACTTGTTAACTCATTCACCCCTGAAATTTCACAATGAACTATTCCAACCTTTGAATTGGAAGAGTTCAAATGTGTCTTCAGGGGTGAATGAGTTAAGGACACAGACTAAGAGGTGCTGCTGGAGTACCAGACTTGTTTAGGACACAGACTTAGAGGTACTGCTGGAGTACTAGACATGTCTGGGACACGTTCTAGAGTTACTCTTTTGATTACTGTTCAGGGTAAATATGTGTAGCTGTTAATGATAGGATATACAGATGTTACTATGTGCCAGGTTTTTTGTTCTATTCTTATTTATACTGTATTCTGTAAGCTTTTTTACCCTCTGGCCTTTTTTAAGATGATTTCACAAAGTGTGAATTCACCTACATATATTTAGTAGGAACAACTAGGAATGTGCTGTTTTTGTCCTTTTTTGAATTAGCCCCCTTGTTTAATGGTAAATTGTTTTACATTAGACGTTGCCTTCATTTCTACATCATACCTTTTCAGGATATTGCTAATGCATGGAAAGGTCTGGAACGGGCAGAGAAAGGTTTTGAAGAATGGCTCCTCTCTGAATTGCAAAGGTGAGATTTTAATAAGTTAATATTGGCAATGTAAACTTCAGGGGAACAAATGTAAAATCAAAGATTGAATGGCAACTCACAAACAACCTATAATGTGTACCTGGCATTATAAGGATTATTATTTACAAATGGATTGTTGTCACCACTAAGACGATATCTAATGAATATTTATTGAGTGTCATTGGCATCAGTTAATTGATTGGTTTTGTCAGCCTCAGAAATCAGTTGACAGGAATCATCGTTTCAAATTTGTTAAAATAAGGACTTTAATGTTGAAAAGTTCTGCCTGAATTGTTTCGTTTATGCTGATGTGTTGGTCATATTGACTTCAGGCTTGAACGGTTAGACCACCTTGCCCAGAAGTTCCGCCACAGATGTGAGATCCATGAGGAATGGGCGGTCGGCAAGGAGGACATGCTGCAGAGTCAAGATTACCTTAGGTCAAGTCTCAATGAACTCAAGGTACGGTAAAATCTTTTAAGTAAAGGTCAAGTCTCATTGAACTCAAAGTATGGTAAATCTCTAAGAACAAGTCTCAGTGAACTTAAAGTAAAGTAAAGCCTCATTGAACCTGTGAATGAAGTCAAACCTTGATTAGTTCAGTAGAAGGTCAGGTGACTTACAGGTAAAGGTGAAGATAATGATTGAATCTCAAAACATAAAGCAATATTTCATAAATTCTTGAATCGTTCTAGTAATGTAGGAATGTGTGGTTTGGCCAAAAAAAATTCTAACATGAGATGACATATTGTGAGGTTGTACTTGCATAAACACATAGGGAGATATAAGCTAGGGGCATATGACTAGTAGTTAGTGCCTGATAAGGCAGCTCCTACAAATTCCTCATAATTGTATTGATTAATGTTTTATTTAATAGTTATGTTAATTGTATTGATTGTATATATTGTGTATCTATGTACTGTAAAGTACTTTGAGTGGCTTATTCTAGCTGGATAGGGTGCTATATCAAATGTTGTGAATTTATTTATTAATTTGTTTATTCTACAGGCCATGAAGAAGAAACATGAAGCCTTTGAGAGCGATTTGGCTGCCCATCAAGACAGAGTAGAACAAATTGCAGCAATTGCCCAAGAACTCAAGTAGGTAGCATTCCTATGGGCTTATTAGGGAATTATGGATCGTAATTACAAAATTCAATTGTGAGATGTTGAGTATAATTGATGTTATATGATTTATAAATGTTCATTACGTAGAGTCAGGTTTTGTGCAAGAGACTAAAAAACTATTTGAAATGTACTGACATTTTAGTGGTTATAAATGAACAAACGATAAGCATTGATGTAGTTGATTTGAAATATTAATGCAGAATCCACCAGAAAGTTTCGTTTTATTGACTGCTCTTACCAGCCCGTCTTATTATGTGGATATCTGATGGTTTATGTTTTTACATTACAGTGCCTTAGGTTATCATGACTGTGTCACTGTCAATTCAAGATGTCAGGTAAGTCCATATACAAAAGCATATAAAATACAGAGATCTATTTCATCATCCCTTCATGTCAAGTCAAACAGTTTTGTTGTTTCGGGGGTTAAGGTCAAGGTTACCATTTCTATTTGAAGAAAACTGTCGTCATCCCTCTAGCAACTTTATTTCCGACCAGATTTGGATAAAACTTCATACAATAGTCAAGAATGAGAATTCCTCTATAGAGTTTGACATTACGGGTGTTGCAACCTAGGTCAAGGTTATTCAGGGTGTTAGAGCCAAGGTCAATGGTAGTGATAGTATTTAAAGTTTAACAGTACCTTGAACAAGTATGTGTTTCAGGGTGATGCAATTAAGGTAAAGGTCACAAACCATATTTACCAAATTCATGTCCATAAAACTTCATTAAAGTGTTAAGGTAATCAGTGTCCCCAAATAGCTCATGTAAGGGAATTAATGATGTAACATTTCTTTAATATAAATGATAAAGTTTGAATTATAAGTTCAGGTAGATAAAATTTGAATTTCCAAGACAATATACTCTGTACAATAGAGTGATGTCAGATTTAAGTTTGACAGAATGCCTTTTGATCAGTAGATATATATCTGAGTTCTGTGCCTATGTTTTCCTATGTTACTTATGTGTTTTCCTTTACAGACGATCTGTGACCAGTGGGACAGACTCGGAACTTTGACGCAGCAGAGAAGGCAGGGATTGGATGTAAGTCAATACGTTAATGTCATCTCGCTTGTACTGGGAAATGTTATAGGCATGTACTGATCTCATATGCCATAGACTTGATGAACCAGTTCAGGTAACATAAGGGGTTTATGTACGCAAGGTACATAACTCTATACAGATATCTAACTGTATGTTTGTTATTCTCTTGAAAATTAGAAATCCTCTAAACAGGAACTTTAAAGTTTAATATTTTATTCATATTTATATATTAAAGCTTAAACATCAAGTCATAAAAAGTAATAAAAGTTTGTAACAGTAAGTTTTATTGATGCCAAAATGAGTAACAGTTAACAGAGAATGATAGGTCATGTTTTGATAGTATCCACTTGTTTATTGTATGGATTTATTTCTATTTTATAGGAAGCTGAAAAGATTTTGGAGATGATTGATAGATATCATCTAGATTTTGCCAAGAGGGCTGCAGTAAGTACACCTGATAGAGAATTAACTGGTGGTTATTGTAGATGATATGGGCGAGGATGGAATTAATAGTTAGTATTATAGATAATATGGGCGAGTATGGAATTGATAGTTGGTATTATAGATGATATAGGCGAGTATGGAATTAATAGTTACTGTAGATGATAAAAGCGAGTATGAAATTGATTGTTACTGTAAATGATATAGGCGAGTATGGAATTAATAGTTAGTATTATAGATAATATGGGCGAGAATGGAACTGATAATTAGTATTATAGATGATATGGGCAAGTATGGAATTGATAGTTAGTATTATAGATGATATGGGCAAGTATGGAATTAATAGTTAGTATTATAGATGATATGGGCAAGTATGGAATTAATAATTAGTATTATAGATGATATAGGCGAGTATGGAATTGATAATTAGTATTATAGATGATATAGGCGAGTATGGAATTGATAATTAGTATTATAGATGATATAGGCGAGTATGGAATTGATAATTAGTATTATAGATGATATAGGCGAGTATGGAATTGATAATTAGTATTATAGATGATATAGGCGAGTATGGAATTGATAATTAGTATTATAGATGATATAGGCGAGTATGGAATTGATAATTAGTATTATAGATGATATAGGCGAGTATGGAATTGATAATTAGTATTATAGATGATATAGGCGAGTATGGAATTGATAATTAGTATTATAGATGATATAGGCGAGTATGGAATTGATAATTAGTATTATAGATGATATAGGCGAGTATGTATATTTGAGTTTTAAGTGATCTGTTACCATTTATCACAATGTTAGGTTAGATTTTCCATTGACATTCCTGTGCATTCCAAGTTTATGTATTTGTATTTACAGCCTTTCAACAACTGGCTGGATGGTGCTAAGGAGGACCTCCTCGACATGTTTATTGTCCATACCACAGAGGAAATCCAGGTACCTTCATTGTCTCCACCTACAGTCACATGTTAAGATTGACATTCTGCAGCAAATTCATACATCTGTTAAATGATATTTATGGCCAAATATATAAAAACGTAGCATGCTATGTTTCCTTAGGGTATGATATAAACTTTCATTTGTCATGTATTGTAAGCATACATTTTTTAGCAGTTGTCTTATTTCGTGCTTTAAATTTTGCACTAAATTATGAATTAACTATATATTGTTCTTTATTATTGCGTATTTTTGGGGGCACCAATTTATCAATGTGCTAATCTGTTAATATTCGACAATGCGTAAAGAATTTGAGTGGGTTGAAAAAGTTATGTTTGCAGTATTTTAACATGTTTATTTTCCTCTAAATATCCAGATTTTAACATAAACTAGTGTACATAGATAAATGTTCTGTTAACAAAGTGAATATATTTTTGATATTTGAAATATAAACTGTTTTCAGGAATTAATGGGAGCTCATGAACAGTTCAAGCAGACTCTTGGTGAAGCTGATAAAGAGTTCAACTCGATTATGACCCTCGCCACAGAGGTTCACAAGCTTGCCCGTGATCATGGCATTCAGGTCACGGAAAACCCCTACACCACTGTAGCCGCACAGGTATGCATCATTCGTTTACCCCCGGCATGGCTTGGTGTGGTTGTAGAGGCTGTGTAGATTTCACATGCCTGACCATGTAGGTCGAGTTCTCACCCCGTTGTTTGAAATAACACTTTGAAAATAAAGTGTAGTTCCTTATTGAATTTGATAGAGAAACACCTGTTTTCGTATTACCTTAGCTGTTCTGAGAATGTTAGCCCTTACCAATACAAATCCTACAGTTTATGGAAACCGTGACAATAAGAGTTGGCAACGGCATGTTGTCTCCTACCTGGACTAGTGCATGCTTTACGTGGTTAGGTCGCAGCTAGGTGGATGCTTTCTGCCACACAACTGCACTTGTTTTGTATAGAAACATAGCTGCTCTTCTAAAGCTTGTTAAGGACCATTAATTTCGTTTTGAAGATTTCTGAAGTATATTTTGTTTGAGAGAATATCAATTTTAGTATTATTGATAAATGAGAAGAATTGTTAAGCTTCTTTGATTATATATATATACCTGACTGAGTCCTTGTTAATGAGCTAAATCATTTGAAACCTCATATATGCATGATATCACAATATTCTCCAATGGAAGCAGGATGCAATTATCAGTAAATATGGACATCATGGAAAACGTGATTTCAATATGTAAATGTTTTACTAGATAAGAGGTTTAAGACAAATTTGTGTCAGAGGGAGCATTGGAAATTGCCCATGTTCATGAGATTTCATTTAAGAGTGTTGCTGGTTATTAAGACGAAAACAAATTCTGTTGTGTCCTGCTTCTGGTCTGTATATGATACGTTGATCACTTTAAACATTAACCCGTGGACACAACACGTTCCTGGCTTGTGTTTGGGACCGACCAGATTGTTAAAGTTTGTGCTCTGTTATTTTATGACACGCTCTTTGCTGCGGGGCTGTTTGGACTGTATAGGAGGTTAGTACTGTATACACTAAAACAATTCCCTCTCTATCGTGGTGATGGCATGTTCAGCTTGGCCTGTATATACCCAGAACATTGTACCCAGACACTAATCTTTGTCTTCTCGTACTCATGTCATGGAAAACAAGTGGCATCGGTAACTTTGGAACATGATTTATTGAACGTCAAGGAAATGAAGAATTATTTTAGAATTAACCAAGAAGTGGTAAAAAGTAAAGTTTTAGAAGTCAACCAAGTAGTAAATTGAAATTTTCAGTAGCACGGATATTTTGTTTTCATTCAAATTTTTGACGAACCTTTTAAGCTTTGACTTGAAAGGAATCATATATCATTGTTGTTTTACGTTACGGATGCTTACTTGTTGGGGAATATATTGTAATTATTTAGAAGAAGAATTGTTTTGTTTTTGGTACATTGATTACAGGAGGTACATCCAAAAGATAAACAAATAGCTTGATTTAATCATATTATTCATCTGGTTGCATTTTTGCTTTAACCAAATTTCAGAGATCAATCATTAAGATCAATGTGTACATTTTCCCTCTATGTATAATTCCCCATTGATGATATTCAGAAGCTTCATGTTCGATTTTGTCATTGGCACTTCTGTATCTACTTTTACCTTAACAGTTTAATTTTAATGTTTGAAAGTGCTTTAAATGAAACTTTTTCAATTATAGGAAAAGTTAAAAGTTTATTTCATGAAAGAGAAAACTCATTGATGGAAATGTTAAAATCTAACTTTGTCAAAACATAGTTTATGATTAATTTCAATGTTTCGAAATATTTAAAATCAAACTTTGTAATAGTATAAGTTCAATGTTGAGCAGTTTATTATTAATTTCAATGTTTCGAAATATTTAAAATCAAACTTTGTAATAGTATAAGTTCAATGTTGAGCGTTTCATTCCGACTATAGACCTGCTAGGTATACCGGTAGTTAACTGTACTCAACAGAGGCTCCTGGAGTTAAAACTCATCTTATTTCTTTCTTTTTTCTATTTCACAAATTAAAAATATTTTTTCTCTTTGAATCAGATACATACAGAGTATATGAAAAATTAACTGTTATGACTATTAGTGTCTTGTTGTATTAGTTGTGGTGATTGGGTGATTTATATTCTGTCTACATCAGTCTAGGAACTATCTTAACAAGACCACTAGGTAGTCAGTAACCGATACTAAAGTGTGTCAATACTCTTTTATAAACTACATTCATATTAAGTGAAGACTATTACTTTCTCTGGGATATCATAATTTTAAGTTTTGACCTGTCACATGATCAATGTGTAACACACTTAAACAGTCCCTGGATTGCTGTTAACATAATGATACTCTGTGTTTTACAAGGATGCATTATAACCATAGTGAAATACGGTGAAATCATAATTATAATTCTTTCCTGTTAGGAAGGGTTTTGTTGTAGCTATACTCATGATTAACAGGTCTTGTGTGCGTCGGTAGATGTAGATACATGTATACTCATCATTTACAGGTCCTTTTGTTACAGAGGGATCAGAAGCGGAAATCTGTAGCATGTCTGATTATTGTCATGTATTGTCTAGATATGGCTATAAGTAAATGAACATACATGACAAGAAATCACTTTAAAATATGTCATACATGGCTTAAGATCACTTTAAAATAAATGCTATACATGACTTGAGATCGCTATGATATTAATGTCATACATGATTAAGATCACTATAAGATAAATGCCATACATGACTTTAGATCACTATAAGATAAATGTTATGAGGTTCTTGTGTAATTGGCGATTATAAACATAAACATATTTCTAATGAATTTTGAAGGTAAGTGAATGGAGACAAATTTGGTTGTCAGTAATGATATGAGATGTAAAGACATTGCAAGAAAATATTTTGAAATAAACTTATTTTTCTTCAATAAAAAAAGACAGCTGGCTCAAATAAGTACCTGTTGTTGGATGATAAATGACTAATTGTTTATTCAGATAGAAATAACAGATTTGATTGTGTGTCAGATTGTACCAAAAGACGATGTTATATTTACAATTTTATTAGTTTAGTGTGTATTAAAGTATGACAACTTGTATTTGTATATCAGGATATTGCCAACAAGTGGAATGAGGTGAAGCGCCTGGTACCCCAGCGTGACAGAACCCTCCAGGATGAGATGGTGAAACAGCAGCACAACGAGCACCTGAGGCGCCAGTTCGCCTCCAAGGCCAACACCATTGGGCCCTGGATCGAGAACCACCTTGATGCTGTTGCATCTATCGGTGTGAATATGAAGTCGTCTCTGGAGGATCAGCTCAACAAACTGAGGACCTACGAGAAGACAACCAACTCGTACAAACCTAACATTGATGAGCTTGAAAAGATCAATGAGGTAAGCTGATCTGTAGCTGTACATCTGTTACCAGCAGCCCATCAAATGAGGAATTTGGGGGCATTTTCGTTTATCCAGAATAACTTTTTTGCATCTGCATTTAAAATGCAGTATAAGTTTAAGATGTAAAACCTTGCAAACATGTGCGGCAGGTTTAAATTGTACATAAGGTTATGGTCGCCTTCTATCTTTGGGCTACAAAGCTAGAGGGAATTTCCCTTTAGCTCAGTGGTAGAGTGTCTGACTAGGAACCTTAAGATCGAGTGTATAATCCCAGGTGGAAGCACACTATTCTCTCTCCTGTTACACATGTAAAGCTAATCATAGGCTTTGACAAGAAAACAATATAAAATTACAAGATCCATCCAGTCTCACTAGGTCCATCCCATATAAGTCCACCAGGGCTTCTTTCAGCTTACATAGTTTCTCTTGGGGTCTAGTTTTGAAATTTATCCTTTTTATATGGATTTGGAAAACAATATGGTCAACAGGCAGCCATCTTGGATTTCAAGGTCAAAATTTGTTTTGACTGTTCACAGAAAACACTGGATAGATCTTTCTCAAATTTGGATCACTAGTTCCCTTTGAGTTTTAGTTGTGCAATAACGCTTTGAGGCATGGTTAATGTCACAGATGTCGACTTCCATATCCTCTCAACAGTGATGGTTGCATAACATAATGAAGCCATATTGTTGGGATTTATGGCAAGTGTTCCAGGGTCAGATTCACATAGTTAAAGGTTAAAGTCCTAATGATAAACATTGCATTTTATCACGAATAACATTATTGAGACCGATGTTAAGTGCTATATAGGAGTTAGGTCAAGGTCATGTAGTGAAAGTTCAAGGTCATGAATGTCAAATTTACATTATGAAGCAATAGTGTTGGGATTGATGTTATTTGCTTATTGTTGTAAAGCTATGGTCAGAGAGTGAAATTATTCTTTTTTATCAAAATTTTGTCACAGAAATTTGAAGCAATATTGTAGGGACGAAGTCAATAATTAAGGTCGCAGAGGTCAAATGCATCTGGGATTTCTTAAAGTTAAAGAAACAATTTTTCGTGAACCATTTGGAATGCAGTATACCTAAAGTGATAAATGAAGTTGCCCAAGTTTACTCCACACAACTCTGGTATCTGGTTTAGTGGATGTCTGTTCAATGCAACGACACAGTCAAGTGATAAATTTCGTTCAGATGCTATTTGAACAAATTATCCAGTGATTGTACAGTATTTGTTCCCTGAAATGTTGTACAGTAATGTTGATGTTTGTGTGTTACAGTCTGTCCAGGAAGCTATGATCTTCGAGAACAAATACACCCAGTACACTATGGAGGTAAGAGTTTCAAAATATCAAACCATTAACACATGAAATAGAGAAAAGTATCCATATTGTTAATGATTAAAGGAAGTGTTTCTTTGTATCAATGTATAATTAAATCCGACAGTTTTATAGAGTTTTTGACCTGTACTGATTGTAATTTCTTACCATGTATGCCAGACAAGTTTTGATGTGTGAATCTGTATGCTGTCTTTTTCAGACTCTCCGTGTTGGATGGGAGCAATTGTTGACTGCTGTCGCAAGAAATATTAACGAAGTAGAGAACCAGGTACAGAATTGTTCAGCTTATCATCTTTAAAATTTTATCATCATTTGGTGATCCAATGGTATCAATTTTTCCATGGCAATGAGGACCTCATCAAAAGCGATGGGGCAGTCAATAGCCCAAATTGATTTGGATTTATGTTTACCATTGATATGATATTTTCACATTGTTCATTAATGGTAATTTTTCTACTCATACCAATATTTGCCATTGTATCATCCTTTTGAAAACTAAAACCTGTATTCAAGCAACATATATCATGATTTTCAGCATAAAATATATACCTCTTTTTATTTTAAAATGAGATGAATAAATATGCACAATATACTGGTTGTTTTATGCAGATTTTGACGAGAGACTCGAAGGGAATTAGTGAAGACCAGATGAATGAGTTCCGTATGTCGTTTAACCACTTCGACAAGGAGAGGAGCAGGAGGCTCACACCCAAGGAGTTCAAGGCGTGCCTTGTCAGTCTTGGCTACAACATCCGTGAAGACAAACAGGTTGGTGTGTGGTAGGGGTCAGGGTTCATAAGTTTCAGTTTGTGAGATGTCTGTGAGTGGTAGGGTTTATTGGATGGTAGAGATAAGGGGTCAGTGGGTGGTATAAATCTGCTAGGGGTCATAATAATAATAATAATTTCAATAATTTGAGGTTTTTATATACCGCTTTATCACAACCTAGTTTGCAGGTCATCTCAAACGTCACAAATTATTATCCATGGTCATTGGGTGATATGAATCTGTTAGGGGTCAGGGGTCATTGGGTGGTAGGGGTCAGGATGGTAGGGGTCAGATTGAAGTGAGGGGTCATATTTGGGAGCCCAGTTTTAAGGAACCAAAACTAGGACCTTTTGCAATGTAATAACAGTGAAAATGTATATGCTAGAATACCTGGGCAAAGTCAAGTTCATGGTATACTTTAGCCAGCAAAATCCTTCAGACACTTAATAATTTAATGATAATATTGATCAGATTTCAAGATTGCACAGATTTTGAAGTGTACCACTTTTGTATAGGGAATTGTTTAATACCACAAGGTTTTTAACCAAAATTATAGTGTTCACCATGAGTAGGAATGTATGGGAGAAACCGGAGTATATTGACGAATCCCACATGAATGGACAGGTAACCAAATAGCTTTTTAGGTGTGATTGGGGCATCAAACCCAAGTCATTTTGATGAAAGGCGAGTGCACTTTCTGCTGTGCCACCCAAACGCCAACAAACTTTATACAAAGGTCAAGTATGAGACAACTTCCATATTGATTTAATCTTTGATGGTCCAAGGTCAAAGTCAAGATCACTGTTATTATTCATGGAATTTTGTCAATAATTAGCACTTCTTTGTATAGAAGCTTGAGTAAATGTCTTGTAGACATTTTATAGTTTCTTTTCAAAACCATACACTTTGAAATAATATACAATATTGTTTATTAACAGGGAGAAACTGACTTCAATAGGATTATGTCAATAGTTGACCCCAACCATTGCCAGTACATCACATTTGACGCTTTCCTCGACTTCATGACACGTGAGACTGCAGACACAGACACAGCAGAGCAAGTGATGAAGTCTTTCAAAATTCTGGCCGCAGATAAGGTTAGTGTTACACTACAGGTAAAATAACCCAGGGAGATGTCATTGTGTTAGCTTGTATATTCCCTTCTATGCATCAGATACCTGTCTACCAGCTTATTTGTAGAGATGTAGCCAGGTAATGTAAAATAAAAAGCCAGTTAATATAAATAAAACTCTTATGTAATATTGTGTTATGTAGGTGCAATAATTCTGCAATACTACATTTAAGAACAAAAGGGAAAAATTAAAAAAATCGCATTTTCAATGTCGGTTAAATTGGTTGTTAATCAATGTGCCTGTGAAAAAATGAAAGAGTGATAAATCTGAGAAAATGTAAAAATAATGTAAAATTAGCTGAAATCAAAGAGAATAAAAAAATATCTTAAAACCTGTATGGTGCAATTCTTACTTACCTTATTTTTGTGTGTGCAGCCATACATCACTGCCCAAATCCTGCGCCAAGAGCTTCCTCCCGACCAGGCTGAGTACTGTATCCAGAGGATGGCTCCCTACACTGGCAGGGACGGCATTCCCGGCGCCCTCGACTACATGTCATTCTCAACAGCCTTATATGGAGAAAGTGACCTTTGAGAACTTTGTGTTGACCTCAAATAACACAGAATCATTGACCTTTTATGCCGGACGTGCAGCATAGATATGTCCATTTGTCCAACTGGCAACATCCTTATTACTACGTCTTTTTTATATAAAGACAAGTTTGTACGATGCTGTTAATAAGCAGGATGTACTAGATTTTTTACGGCATATTTGTAAGCAAAAATAAATTAACTATTTTTAACAAAGTTTCTACTCTGACGGCAGGTCTCGGGGATGTAGAGTAGACCCATAGGGAACAGTATTTTTGCTGCACGTCTAGCACCCTTCTGGGGTCAAGACGTTCGCCTGTGGGACAATTGTGTGCCGAGTGCGACGAGACAAGCTGGCAACCCATGCCAGCATTGTTCAAACCAAAACACAAACCCTTTATCTATGCATGGCATTCATAGAGGAAATGCTGATATGATTGAGCAATAGAGTGTAAAATGTGTGAATGAACAGCCGATACAGCTATTCCTGACTACACAATTTCCTGGACCTGGAGTGACACCACCTGACTGGAAAGGTTCCCTCACTGCTTGGACTATAATCAAAATGTGTTTATGGTGGTGTACTTAACAAAAATCAAGAATGTAACTAGGTGTAGGGACTTTTCCATTTCAGGCTGGTGTGATAAATGCAATGATTACTTCAGATGAAATTCACTGCCAGAAGATGTGACCTTGAGAATGTTCAACCTGTGAATGTTAGCAGAGAGAATGGAACAAAGGGAGGCAAATCTCTTCCTGTTTTCTGTTAAAGTATGCAGGGAATTTTCATGTAGATATATAGAAAAGTAGAATCTTTATTTGAATTATTTCCATTTCTTATATTTATTCCACAAGATATAAGTAAATTATGACTGGGACAGTGTCACAGAATGCAAAACAAAACACGAGCAGCAATCAACCTGAAACATGAAACTGTTTTATTAGTATACTGACAGTGTTGACACGGCCAGATGTCTGGGTAGTGAGCATTGTTTTTATTATTTATATATATCGAATGTTTAGTCACAAGCACAAGGGGCATGGTACCTATATCACATGACTGATATGCCATGGTCTGTGCCCTTTGAGCTTTGACATTGCTGTGGCCTTTGCCCTTTGACCTGTGACACTGACTCCGTGCTAGCAGATGTTTGGGATGTTACCTGTGAACTTGTTACCCTGTATTTACTTGAGAAATACTTATTTAATTGATGTGTTATATATAAGCCTCTACAGGTCAACAACGGAATCCTCTGCGATCCATTCATAGCCTTCTGCAGTTTTATATCGACTGATATTGAATCTTGTGGTTTTCTAAAGGTGTAATGACAGATACTGCTTTTAACTTTTTATACTCGTTTTTTATAGAATGCCAAAATTACAATATATATTCATTAGTCCTACAATTTATTTTCTTTGCCTGCAAATTGTTGTGTTATTTTCTAAGGAACTTTTTGTTAACCACTAACCAACCAGATAAAGAAATATGGTGGGGAGTATAAGAGGACAGTTAGGCCATACATTATTTACATTGTCATATTTGATGAACAGCATAGGTCTTTAGATGTCAGCCGCAGATGGAGATCCACCAGAATCTGTAGCCTGTACTAGATTATACAAAACACAGATCATGGTCCTGGTTTATACTTCAGATTCCATTAAAGATTTCTACCCAACGAAGACAGAGTTTTCTTGTGATTTCATTTTGGTGAAAGGGTAAGATCGTGTTGATATATAAAACATGTATTCCCCTTGTCACTTTTATAAAGTATTTGTCTAAAAAGTCCTTTAAAAGGAAAAAACCTGCAGGGGTCAAACTCTAGACTTCGGACTGTCAATTTTACACTTTACCAAAACCTTACAAGGGAAGTAACTCTAACTTCCTTTAATACAGGAGAAAGTATTAAACTGAATTAGTAGTACAATTAATCTTTGTTTATTATATGTCTGGCAGTGAACTACAAGGTTTGTACATCAATTAATGTTTATTAATCAGTAGCAATGCTGGCTCAGTGTTGCTTTAAAATTACACCAGCATCAAAAGGTACATTTTAAAACATTCCTTATAAGTAACAATATACAGCATCATTCACCCATTAAACCGACATCTTCATACACGATGAAACAATACATTATTTGTACATAAAAGTCAAATTTTTAACCCACCATCATCAGATGATGGGCTATTCAAATCACCTGTTTTCAGTGGTCCGTCCGTCTTTCAACAATTCTTTTTATCGCTATTTCTCAGAAAGGTCAGGAGGGATCTTTCTCGCACTTGATATGTTGGTCCCTTATTGTGCATGTTTACTTTAGAGACTGATCGGATAAACACAATGGCCGACAGGTGGCCATCTTTGATTTTGACAATGAATGTTTGTTATTGCTATTTCTTAGATAGTACTGGAGGGATCTTGAATTTGATCTGTAGGTTCCCCTTGGTCTTTTGTTGTGCATATTTACTTTTGAGATGCCTCCGATAAACAAAATGGATGAGAAGTGGCCATCTTGGATTTTGACAGTGAATGTTGGTCAACGCTATCCTCGGGAAGGACTTGAGGGATCTTTCTTAATTTGCTATGTTGGTTTCCCTTCTTCCCTTGTTGGGCATGTTCAATTTTGAGATGGCTCATATAAACAAAATGGCCGACAGACAGCCATCCTGGATTTTGACTGTATGTTTGTTATCTCTATTTCACAGGAAGTCCTTGAGGAATCGTTCTCAAATTTGATATGTAAATTCCCCTTGGTCTGTAGCTGTGCATGTTTATTTTTTCCGACATGGCTCTCGGAAAGTACTGGAGGGATCTTTCTCGCACTTGATATGTAGGTCCCCTTTGGTCCCTAATAGTTCATGTTTACTTTTGAGACTGATTGGATAAACAAAACGGCCGACAGGTAGCCATCCTGGATTTTGACTGTGAATGTTTGTTATGGCTATTTCTCAGGTAGTAATGGAAAAATCTTTCTCAACTTTGTTCCGTAGGTTTTCCTTGGTCCTTAATTGTGCATGTTTACTTTTGAGATTTGATGGAATCAACAAAATGGTTACCTCAAGGTGCATTTACTGTTTACATGACTCAATCAATCAAATAAGAGAAAAGATCGAACTGACATAGAACTCGCGAAGATGGCATAATGGTGGGCGCCAAGATCCTAGTTTAACAATGTTGTGAGATTACGAATACAAGTCGGAAGATAATTGTTCAACTGAACATATCAACAAACTTAATTTAATTAGCAAGGATTGCTAAACATTAACAGTAAAACTTATAATAGTGACAGTGGTGAGAGCTACAAGAACACCCAACATTATGTATGCCATTGATTGTAAAGCCACATGTGCTGGTGCAAAATGCAATTTCTTCAAATCCTCTTGACGGTTGAGAATATGCTGGTCTGTTCATCACCCAGAGGAAGCATCGTGGAAGCCTACATGTACAGCATTGTTTTTGCAACCACTACTGACCATCAAGGCAAAGGATGTTGTATTTTAAGGGCGAAACTGGCCACCACCTTATGATGTCGCATGAGGCATCCTAACAAATAATAATAATAAAGGCTTTATTTATTCTTGATAACATTGAGCATGAAGCTCATCTTACATATGGTCCTGATACAATGTATGATCAAAAGTACAATATTTACAGCTTTAAGAAATATACATGTATAAAATACAGGATAAGGAAGGCAATCATAAATCATTTCAAGTAAAATTGTTTTCCAGATCTCTTAAATTCTGAAAGTGAAGTACAATTTCTAATGTGACTTGGTAAAAGATTCCGTGCAAGGGGTCCCTGATTATACTAAAAATGTTTGTGGGTCCCTGATTTACTAAAAATGTTTGTCTTATGACATGGCAAGTGAAACAAACACATTGGTAGATGATGATAGGTATATGTAAAATCATTCAAATTTTGTGGAGCTATATTATATGACTGGCATCTAAAAAAATTGACATGATATCTTTTTTCAGACATTTGTAAATTGAATGTTCCAAGAGAGACGATCATCTATTGAACACTCCCAAAAGTTTTTCACATTTTACATTTTCAATGTTTATATTGTTGATAACAACTGACAATTCTTCTGTTAATTTACATTTTTTTTCTGTGAAGAAGTAACAAGCATGACTTTTGTTTTTTCTGTGTTTATACACATTTTGTTTTCATCGCACCATTTTGACACTAACTTTGCATCAGCATTGAGTTTGGTATTTACAATGTCAAGTGATTTCCCTTGCGATTGTGCTGCGGTGTCATCAGCGTACATATACAAAGAAGTTTGATTTGTAATCAGGGGCAGGTCATTTACATATAAAATGAACAAAAGAAGCCCCAATATTGACCCTTGAGGGACACCGACTGTAAGAGGGAGAGAATCACTTAAAAGTTTAAAATTTGAAATCTACCGCTCAAATAACTTAGAAAAAAAGACCATTGTTTTGGATGAATAACCATACAATTCCAATTTAGACATCAAAACCGAGTGGTTCACAAGGTCGAATGCCTTTCGAAAATCTAGAAATAGAACAGCTGTCAAGATACCTTTGTCTATAGCCTCATACCAGGTGTTTGTAATATTAGTTAGCGCAGTCTGACATGAGTGTTTTGCTCTGAAGCCAGATTTGCTATCTTAAATCAAATTGTGGTCAGACAAAAATTTATGAAAATTGTCATGAATATGTTTTTTCTAGACATTTTGATAAAACAGGAAGTACTGATATTGGTCTGTAGTTACACAAAAGCTCCTTTTTACCCTTTTTAAAAAGAGGGCTTACTTTCGCATACTTCCAAACTTTCGGAAAACTGTTTGTGTCAATACTAAAATTCATTAGTTTACAAACAATTGGATCAAAGGAACAAAAAACCCACAGGGACCCGATACTTTGTTACAGCTATATTTGGACCTAAACTAAGGTGTTTTGAGTAATTTTACATGTTTAAGGGGGTATATGATCATTGGGTTGTCTTTTTAGGGTTTAATATCGACTTTCGGTAAAAATGACACCCCAATGATCATATATACGATCATTGAGGGTGTCATTTTAACCGAATTTCGATTTCAACCCCTAAATTATGTAAAAAAACAACAACAACCTTAGTTTAGGTCCAATTATAGCTGTAACAAAGTATCGGGTCCCTGTGCATAAAACAACTAACAGGTAGCGAGTGAAGGGTTACACGATTTTACAGAATTACAGATACGTGTTATAACAATAATCCAACATATATTCCTACAAAAGAAACATCCGGATTAACGGGAAAATGATTTTTTACGATAATCCTCCCGATTAATGGAACAACTTATTACAAGTATCCTCCTGATTATCAGGAACAAAATATTCTATAATATTCCTCAAAGTCACACTAAGATTGTCACAGAAACCAAATGATTCGGTAAATTTGAAGGATTTACGTCATTATTACAAAATATGTATCCGAAAGGTTGGAAGAATATTGCAATAGTTTGCTCTCGTGGAATCGGAAGAAATATGTAACAATATATTTCCGTTATTCCGGAATATTATTGTAAAACTATATGTCCATGAATATGGAGGTTTATTGGAATTATAAATGTCTATAAAAAAGGGTTTTTGTAACTATTTGTGTTTGTTTATCCGGAGGATTGTTGTACATGTCCCGTAAATCTGGAGGAATATTTTTACGATATGTTCCCGTTAGTCCGGAGGAAAAGTGTAACAAAATGTGTCCCTGGGTCCGGTGGAGTATTGTTGTAACATGTATACGTTATTCCGGAGAATTATTGTTGCAATAATTATGTGTTGTTAATTCGGAGTATCTATGTAACAATAAGTGTCGGTCAATACGGGGGACTAATTAGTCCGGATAATGTTATGAGGACTCTTCCAAATAAACGTTGAATCCGGGTTTTTTTCTACAAATATTTTCAGAATAGTTCCAAGACATTCATGCGCAATATAATAAGGACAAATACCAAACACCCCGTGCTAAAAATAATCCGCACGGGTTTAGTCGAAATAAGCATTCACTACAGGTCAAAGAGGAAGAACTCCGACAATAGAAAATAAGGATACTTGATTGTGGACTTGAATAAAACAAATTTAGGGCCAACTACGGACTATTTATTTTAATCTTTTCGTATCAATATTCCAATATAGATGGAATATTATTTATTAAGATGACCTGGAAAACAATTTCAAATATATAGTACTGATGCGAACTAAAGCTAAAGATGATTTAAAACTAATTTTAACTAATACGAAAAGTTATATGATTATATAATATAATTAGCGTAACGGATGTGTTATATTTTTGTCCCATCTGTCTGTCACACTCCATATAATATCATCAATCTACCGGCCGTATTTCTTCAAACATTATGATAAACCTTCACATGTTTTGCAATACTCTTTCTTCGGCATTTTAAATACTGTCATTGTGTATCCCCTCGCCGAAGGAACGAACCCCTCTAATGGGTCAAGGGGCAACCCACCGAGACGAAATCCGTTTAAGTTATCTTGTGCCGTCTTGCATTTTTTGTATATTTATATATAAGTTCAGGTATTATGGGTAATTTTAATATTGACACCCCCGGCCGCAACGAAGTTGTCCACAGTCTGTCTGTCAGTCGATTCATCTGACAGATAAAATACTGTCCAGAAAACTCTTCCTGAACTATTAAGCTGATTTCAACAAAACGTTTAAGGTATGATCGGTACATCATGTATAGTTGCACACCTGAAATATATTCCGGTTTCGAATTTCCCCGGTGATGTTTTTTTACTTATCATTTCAAGCCCTGGCTGGAAAATTTTCAAATTTATGTGCAATGAGACTTTCTGGGAATGGGCAAATTGTTGTGGTGCAAGATGGCCACCATGACGTATGATTGGCTGGAACTATAACAGTTGCAACTGTGCAACTTGAGTTATAGTATGGACTGGCTTTGTTCATATTATGTGGGGTGGTACAGCGGGGATATATATATAATTCTTTTAAAAATTCGGTTTTCAAGATGGCTGCATTGCCATCCGATTTTCTGAGACAATAACGGCGGTTATAACGTAAGTTCTATAAGGTCGACTTTGTTGATACTTTGATTGTCTGATTCAAAGTATGCTTTGTGACGACTTTATTTTTTTGGGATTCAAGATGGTTGGTATGGCCTCTGATTACCTGGGACAGTAACACTTTACTTGGCCGAGCATCAGAATGCTAGTGGCTGAAGTTCTTTTTCCTATTTTCAGCATTAGACATGTCCTGCGGAAACAATGAAATTAGAGCTAACTTCAACATGTTTTTAACATAGTATCGAGCGTAGTGAAGTATACCCTATATATATATTTTTTAAATATTCCGACCACAACATATACACTGTGTATTTCCAAACAAATTTTTGGATGCCCCAATAATTTGGACTTCAGTCGCATCCCTACCTCTGACAATGATGTATCAGATGAATAATAATTTGATAAAAATTGCATATTGATATGATTGGAATGGAACATAGCCACAGAAAAATAAAGATGCTCTGTCAGTTAATTTTTGTTTTAGAGAAAATCTTTTGTTAATCAGGGCCAAATTGAACTGTGTTTTTTCTATTGAAACAGTCTAATTCTATTATTATAAATATCATATTTTACCATACCAAAACTACACCTATGCCAAATAAGCATAACCCATGAAACTTTAAAAACTTGAGCGTCTACAAGTCTAATGAGAATGTAACGCTTAATTACCCACTTTGAAATTAGTTTGGCGATTTGCACTGATCAGTTATAAACAAATTATATCATGCAAAAAGAATGTGTTTTAATAACACCAGATACAATCCATGTGTTGTGTACATGCGGAAAACAAGAAGTTTGATATAAACAGCAACATAATGTGCGATAAATTGATCGCGCCCCGATTCCCAGACTAAGCACTGGCGCATAGCACACGAGGCCGAGTGAAGCGCCTTGATCTGTTCTCCGTGCCCTACCCGTTCATTAGTTGGCCTGCACTGTCGACACCAGCGACACCTATTGTCAGATTTTACGCAGGAAGAATGCATAGAATGATTCGCGCCAGTGGGATATTGTTCCAGCTTTCATCAAACACACGACATTATTTTCAACATGTGTATTTGACATAAATTTTTGAAAACAATGCATTTTATCAGAGAGTGAGTTTGGGTAATCAGAAGTTCCGCTTTGAAATATTTCGCGGAATATTATAGGCAAATAACATAAGCACAACAAACATGGCGGACACTGTGAACGGTGTTTTGGAAATGACTGCCGCACATGTATTGGGTCAAGATACTTTGATTGTATCGGGTGACGGCATACACAATTCAGAAAACGATGTTGCAGATGAAGATCTATTACAGCAAGCATTAGATGAAGCATCGGGCGATTTAGTGGCCACAAGTTTAACGCCAGAAGACGAATCTGTTGCTGTAAATATTGCCGATACGGTTGCAGATGGGACGTTCAACACATCACACGGTGTCGCGGGCGAAGTGACGTTTGATAATGTGACATATTCTGTAGTTACTGAAAGTGATAATGTAACGTATGCAGCCACATCTGGGGCCACGTTGGAGCCGTCGGACAGTTTATCAGAAGACGGGCCCCTGCACACCAGCATAAGTACTATAGAGGAGGGTGAGGATGATGGTGAACTAGGGGACACAGTAACCACAAGTTCAGGTGTATCTGTGAGACTTGTACCTGTTAATCAGGCGAGTGGGGCACCTCTTGGATCTAGTCAAAATCCCATTCGCATCATACAACAAGGTAATCAGTATACACCTGTACAACACCTCACTACAGAACAGCTGCAACAGATTATGCAGGTAGTGCAGGAGCAACAGGTAGCTAAAAGCACAGCACAGGAGGGTTCCAGTATTCTCTACAACCCCCAGACTAACACTCGCATTGTATACAGAGTTATCTACCCCTCAGAACTTCACAAGTCTGGTGGCAGTGGTACTCCTATCACACTCCAATCACAGGGACAGCAGACTGTTGTGCTAAGTCAAAGTAGTCGCAGACCTTACAAGAAACGCAAGTTAGAAGAAGATCCCGATAAACAACAGGATGGACCTGATTTATCCAAAGAGGAAAAAGAACTTAGAAAAAAACACAGGCCACGTACAAGATCGGGTAGAATATCTAAACCACCAAAGCACATGGTGAAAGACTATAAACATATTCACGTTTTAGATTGGGATGAGGATTATGATGATTCAGATGGAGGTTATTCAGACTTTAAATACAGTGAGGATGAACGAGAAGAGAGGGAGGGATCTGAATCAATAGGCATTGAGACAGGTATACCAATCAATAGCACAAATGGTTGTCTGGAGATGTATTACCATTCCAATATTATACATTTGTTATGTCAGTGATGTACAGTTCATTTAGCCCAATGCCTGGGGGTGTATACAATATAAAGTCACATTTTTAAACATTTCCTATGAAAAAAATAGTTCGACTGGTAGATTTTTTTCTAAATTTTCCTGAGAGCTACGCAAAATATGAAATTTTATATCCCTATAATTCATCACTGTATGTTTGTAATCAGTGTTGTCACTATAACCACACCAGGTTTCTATGTTTGTTGCCTCTCCAATGTATGTGTATGTATGTAACAGGAGAGAGAAATGCACTAGTACTGACAGACCAGGATTTGAACCCAGGACTCTCTAAACTCGAGATGGATGCGCATGCTCTACCAACTGAGCTACCTGGTCGTCATCAAATGACCCATTCTAGTTCTACTACATCCCTCCTTTCCTTTCCTTAAATCTTCAGCCCCTGAAAATAACATTATGCTTACAATCCAGGTTCGAGTTATCCCCTTCCCAAGCATTCATCCTAGTAATGGAAGCAAGGGTTGGTCGCAGGCAACCGTGTACTAGGTGAGAAAGAATACACGGCTTAACAGGGATTCAAACCTGGGACCCTCCAAACTCTACACAGATGCTCAATTGAGCTGCCTGGTTGGGGGTGCATCGAATGACCCAGTCCAGTTCCGCTACATGGAATTACCACCTAATCACTCTGTTACAATACCACTCCATGCTGCAAGGGTGTACAATTTCATATTTAAAATACTTCACCACAGGTTGATTTTCAAAAGTAACTTTTGTATGACCTTTATTTTTCAAATAAATATTGGAAATTTTTCACCAGTCCCATCATAAATCTTCAAGACCTACTTGTTGGGCTAGTGAAATCCTACACCCCTGATGTTGGTATCATGATAAGTGTTACCACTCCATTGTACATTTGTATATTGTCACTCCATCACTGTATGCTATGTACATGCAACGCATCAGGTGTTCTACTCTGCCTACCTTCCACATATGTAATACTTTGCAAATCAGTTCCAACGCCTGTATTTTTAGACGTCATACTGATTAGCTCGTGCTGTGAATACCTTCTACCAAGGTGTAGCTGACAATCAGTGCTTTTCCACTCCATCAATATTTGTCAGTTCTATGGTAGCTCCTGGTCCATAACATGTGATTTTTAAAACTTTTGGTCCCTTGGGGTGTTTTATAATTGTCACATATTGCAGTAAGTGCAATATCAATCTTTGACTGAGTGTGCACTTCTAATAACCACTTCGGATTATATATATATTTATTGGCTCACCTGGTCGAAGGACCAAGGTCCGTCAAGCTTATGCCATATACCGTGTCTTCCGTACGTCAACAATTTCTTCAAACAACTTCTTCATAACCTAAACCACTGATTGGAATTTAACTAAGTTTGATTGAAAACATCCCTAGGTGGTGGGGATTCAAAATTGTACAAATGGTGGGGTTGAGGGGCGGGGCCAAAAAGGGGCAAATTGGCTATATTGATATAAACGACTTCTGTAGAACTATGCAATGGATATCAATCATATTTGGTTGGAAGCATTCAATGGAGGCAGGGATTCAAAATTGTAAAAATGGTGGGGTTGAGGGGCGGGGCCAAAAAGGGGCAAATTGGCTATATTGATATAAACGACTTCTGTAGAACTATNTTAATTGGCTATATTGCTTTAAGCAACTTCTCTGGAACTAAGAGATAGATATCAACCATATTTGACTGGAAGGATCCGCAGGTAGTGGGGATTCAAAATTGTGTGAATGATGGGGCTGACCCCCAGGGGGCTGAGGGGCGGGGCCAAAAGGGGGCAATTTTTATGGGTCATAACTTTGAAATGGTTGAGATCCCCACCCCAAAACTATATATACAAATGCTGGGCATAAAGAGACGATTGCAGTTATGATATTAGAATTGATCCTGGGGTCTGGCCACCACCCTTAGAGGGGCCTAGTTTCGTCACAGCTTGGAAACAGTTGAGATCCCCACCCTATAACCATTCATAAAACAGCCTGGTATGAAAAATCTAGTGTTGCTACAAGAATTGGCCTTGGGGTCTGGCCCATTCCCTTGGATCTTGTTTGGAGAATATTTTTCATGATTGCTGAGATATCCAGATGAGCAATACAGGCCCTCTGGGCCTCTTGTATTACCATGGCCATTCCTATCCGTGTACAGTATGTACAATGTCTTTTGTGAAACAACATAAATAATGATTGTACATTTTGAAAAGAAACCTGTTCTAGCTTTAAAATCATGACTTTCATTTTATTACTCTCAAACACATTTTGACCATATAAAGCCACCTATTCAACATATTTAGTATTTTTCAAATGGCTTGCAAATTTGATTAATATCATCTGATGTTGTGTTGACTATATATAGGCTGTGGTTTTATTTTTAGGGCTTGTAATTCCAATATCCAATAAATAATTTTGCACTCCACAGTGAAGCAGACATGTAAATATAGGAATGGGTGGCTGATGAAATCAATTTTAGCTGGGTACATGGAATACATGTACAGCGCTGCTGTGGTTCTCCTATGTATACTTGTATATTCTTGTACATGGATGTATGTGCCATCATTATTAGTATCTCTGTTTTCTGTTCAAATTTGATGTAATTGATAACATATCTCTTGTCAAGTTTTAGGAATCATTCATGTTTGTTAAATTTACCTGTGTTTGTTTCCAATTTGAACCCTGCACATAATCTTGAAAATGTTGTCAGTAATGTATATATATTCTTGGGTGTAAAAAATGCCCCTTTCCGTTCAATACTTCCCTCCCTCTGACCTTTTCAACACGATGCTAATTTTTCCTATCGCTACTAGTACTTCTCTTAATCATGATAATTGCCCCTTCCCCTTCATAGATATTCAACTTCCCTTGATTGGTACTTTCCCCATTTTATACCACTTCTGCAAGTGATTTTGTTGACCTTTCCTTCACCACTTATCCCCAAATTATGCTCATCTCTTATGCAAATATGATATTTTGTATTGCAATATGTTGTGTGACTATTGATCTATATCCTAGCTGTGCTGTTATCTGACAGGTGTGGGACATCCTCGCCCGAAGAACTGGAAGTGCGAGACCTGTCACAAGTCTTATATTGGACGAGGTGGACTGGGCCGTCACTACCGACTCAACCCAGAACATGGCTCTGTTGATGACCTGCCCGAGGAAACTCTCCACTGTAGGTTTTCAATTGACCTTTGTTTTAGTACCATTCTTACTACCTGGTAGTTGCTTTAGGTGTTGTGTGTAACAAGTTTGTGTAGACTTCAAACTGCTCCTGGAGTTCAAAGTTTGTATCCACCAAACCTTAAAGGCCTAGGAATCATTTAGTTGCTTTCCTTGCAATTACTTTAAGGAGGAGGCTGGATAGTAATATGAATCTCTAATAACAAATCATAAGGTCATATGTATATTGAAATTGTAACAGTAGTAGTACCGTACCGATATCAGCATTTCTTAAGGAAAAAAACACATGGTTGTGTTGTGACTAACCTCAAGTGGGGGAAAAAAATCAAAACACTTCATGCATTGTCCAGAGCAAGAAGACATAATACCATGATAAACACACTTGTTCAGACTGTGATTCTATAGCTACTAGCCCTAGTAAGCTACTTTTATTTGTTGAAAAGGACATGAATTTTAACATATAGATGAGCCATACCATTTAAAAGAGTGGATGCTGTTATTTGACTTAACCATCTAGCATAACAGTGTAGCTATAACATCATGTGTAAAACTAAGTGTGAATAATTCTAAAGTTCAATACATCCATATAATTCTTGACAAGCCACTGAAATGTTATAGCTTTTTGTCATTTTGTTCACTTTTATCACTGTCTGGTAAACATGGTTTGTATAGATCATGTTTCACAAATTTAACAGGGAAACAGTTAAAATTCCCATCCTATAAACCACATATTTATGTAAGGCTTGTCTGGCTTGTATGTATATCATGGTTAAGGATTCTGGTGTTTGCAGTTAAAGGGAAGTCCTACCAAAACACCTTTTATGTTACTATGGCTCGTATTGCATATATATATATATATTGATATCTGCTGAGAACATCTCAAAAAGCATTTGTTATTTATTGTTTTATTAGCTCACCTGGCCCCAAGGGCCAAGTGAGCTTATGCCATGGCGCAGGGTCCGGTGTCCGTCAACTTTTTCCTTTAAAGCGCTACTAGTCCTTAACGGCTCAGAGGATTTTGACCAAATTTGGTCTGGAGCATCATTGGCCAAAGGGTTCTCAGTTTTGTATAAACGGAGGGTATGGTTGGTCCCCTTGGGGGCAGAGGGCAGGGCCAAATAGGGGGAAAATAGGTAAATCTTTAAAAATCTTCTCAACAAAAAGAAGTATTTTGACCAAATTTGTTCTAGAGCATCTTTGGATAAAGGACCCTCAAGTTTGTATAAATGGAGGGTGTGGCACCTCTGGGGGCAGAGGGGCAGGGCCCAATACGGGAAATAGAGTTTTTTTTTTCTCCTACTGTAAAAGTGAAGGGATTTAAACCAAATGCAGTCAGAAGCATGCTTAGGGACAAAAGAATCAATTTTGCATAAACTGAGGTGTGTGGGCCCCCTTCTTTGGGGTAGATGGGTGGGGCCCATAAGGGGAAATAGAGGAAAATATTAAAAAATCTTCTTCTTTTGTACCAATGAAGGGATTTTGACCAAATTTGGTCTGGAGCATCATTGGCCAAAGGGTTATCAGTTTTGTATAAATGGAGGGTATTGTTCCCTTGGGGGCAGAGGGCAGGGCCAAATAGGGAGAAAATAGGTAAATCTGTTAAAATCTTCTTCTCAACAAAAAGAAGGATTTCCACCAAATTTGATCTAGAGCATCTTTGGACAAAGGAGCCTCAAGTTTGTATAAAGGGAGGGTGTGGCCCCTCTGGGGGCAGATGGCTGGACCCAAAAGGGGAAATGGGGGAATTATTTTCTCCTACTAGACAAGCGAAGGGATTCAAACCAAATGCAGTCAGAAGCATGCTTAGAGACAAAAGAATCAATTTTGTATTAACTGAGGTGTAAGGGCCCCCTTTCTTGGGGCAGATGGGTGGGGCCCATTATGGAAAATAATAGAGGAAAATATCAAAGATCCTTCTCTTGTTCTAGAGCATCCTTGGGCAAAGGAAATTTAATATGTATAAATGATAGATGTGCCCCCTCCCTTTGAATGTGGTTGAAGTACAATGACGAGAGCAATTTTTTTACACATTTATCTTTCAATTAGAGTACATGTACTGGTTTATAGCAATGTTGATTTTATTGTAACTTATTCTTAATTTGCGAGTGATGTTATTTTCAAATATTGGTTGTTTGTATTCGGCCAGTAAATGTGGTATAGATCTACTAAATAATAGGTCAATGGTTTTGTTTCAGCTTTTGCCAGGGTTTCCCATAATGGTCTAAGCAACAGTACAGGTAATTTGTCGGAGGACAGTAATACTCAGGACTCCATCTCTGGGATCCCCTCCACTGGGACACCCAACAAGATGTTCCATCAGCGAGGAGGATACCGGGGACGCAACTTTGAAAATCCACTCAAGCGAAAAAATAAACTGCGAGATGTATGTATATAACTGCAGTGATGTAACCAGAGATTCCTTGTGATTTAAGAAGGAAAGAATAATGGCTTCATTGACAGTCATTACAAAATTAAAATACTTGTAGTGTGCAAATTTGTAATTTTGGTCAGATGTCAGATCATGTTGAATATTTTTTCAATTCTTTTAAAATAGCTCAAAGATGTTTGTACAATGTTATATATTTGGTCAATTGATTTATCAAAGCACAGGTTTCATGACAATGAAATGTACATGTGATGCTACACTGATTCATGAGGATTTATTAACAGCCCGACTACACAGGTTTCATATTAGGTGCATGATTACACAGGTTCCATATTTACTCCTATAACATAAGAGGCCGCTGGTCGGCCTTTTTTCTATCGGATATGATTTTGCCACCTGGCGCCTGTCAAGAGTATCTTGCGGTGTAAACCTCTAACACTGTTGGAGTAGTTTCACATTATGAGGTGCCCAACCACACAGGTTTCATATTATTAGCTGTTTGATTACACAGGTTAAATATATTGATATTATGACTATACAGAATCTGTATGATTAGGTTCTGACTTGACAGGGGTCATCATGTGGTGTTGTACTGCTCTACTAACGTAAGATGCCTACAGACATCCCAATACACACTTTTTCTCTCACTACTGTTAGTGCAAGATAGAGTTGTCCAGGGCAAGAAAAAGGTGTAGGAAATTCTTATCTTTCTGATGTGCTTCTACAGTGATGTGACTTCATGAACATGGGAAAATTGTGATGCAATGTGGAAAATGACGACATTATAAAATTTAGACTATTATATGTTTTCATGGGCCTGACTATTTCTGAGCTTGTTCTGGTAATTGGAATGAGAGAAAAATTGTTTTTCATTCCCAGGAGTTTAGGATAGGAAAACCCCACCCTCAATTCAAATTGAACAAAATCTTCTACAAGCCACAGGTTTTACTCAATTTGATAACCCCCCTACGGAAATTTCCATATCCTAAATCATAGGCATAAAAGAGACTTAAATTCGTTTTGAAACTGGAATAGTGTCATGAATGCATCATTAAACACCAATTTGATATTGCAAAGTGGAACTATTAAAAAAAATTGGGATATTTTTCCTTCCAAAAGTTGAAGGTACATCTTTATGACCCCATTTTAACATCCACCAAGGGTCGGAATGGGTAAACATGTTACCCGTTCCCCTGACTGACTGCAGTATTAGTACAATTAGACAAAATGTCTCGATTCAGCCCACTGTGGCTTAGTTAGTTGTTTTCAGCGGTTCAGAGTCGAGACACCGACCATTTACACTCTTTGCTTGACCATGGAAACAGACGTTTCGAAAACTCGCAAAATAATTGTTCTATTCCTGTTTGTGTTCAAAACAAACTTAGTCTTTATTATTCATACCAAACTGATGAATCTTACATTTGAAAGAATTGTACTGAAGAAAATCTGGTCTTAAATTAATTCCTCTTGTATGTAGTCCCAGTACTAAGTTCAATGTTTTCATGCTGCTGATCTGTTTGTATGGAGTCCCTGTGCTGAGTTTATTGTTGTGTTACAGCTGATCCGACAGTGTGAGGATGAGGAGCTGATGGAGGTGGTCCTGCCTCGCCTCGCCCAGGTCATCACTCTCTGGGAATTTCTCCTCATGAAAGTAGAGAAGGGCAAGCCATCCCTCCCTCATGTTGACGACATCTACCACGAGTTTGAGGCACTTTCCAAACAAGTTCAGAAATTCTGCAAAACCTATCTGAAGCCACTAGCTAACACAGAAAATAACATCAGCAATGTAAAAAAGTTAAAGGTAAATAAAATATGGTGGAACCTGCATAGAAAGATATTCTATTAGCCAGAGAAGAATGTTTCAATAACCAATTTATTGTAATAAATGATCAAGCTATTTGCCATTGATTTTAGGTTGTCTGGACTAGATGTGAGATGCCCTATGATCATCAGACATAGATAAATGTGGAAACAGTGGGAGATGTTAATGTAATAATTGAAATTATTAAATTATCTGTTTTCTTTGTTATTTATATCAATGAGTTGGAAAATTTCAAGAAAAAAATGCTTTTTATGGTCGTAATGATCTGCTTTGATCAATACCTCAGAACTAGTGTTAACCTGCATCCTAGCTTGCGATACTGTCAAGTAACAGTCAATAGGGTGAGAGAAGTGATATCAACGATCATGATTTAGCGATGAAAAATGGTGTTACCTTTTGTCTCATGAAGTGTCAAACTTGTGAAGAGTCATAAAATGCATGATTTTATTTTGTATCAAAATTTGCACTAGAAAATGTCTGATCATTTCATGAATGAGCATCAAACTTAATATATATCAGACAGTTACTTCTTGGGAAGATGGTTTGTCGTATTGTAAAACGAGGTCACTATGACCTCAATTTGACCTTTGAAATTGACCTCAAGTACTAAAATTATGATTTTGAGACCATTTATCAGCTACGGTTTCATGAATTGGCATTAGACTTTGTTTATTGGTACTTAATGGATGGCATTTTGTTGTCCTAAATGGGCACATTGTGACCTCAATTTGACCTTTCACCTTGACCTCAAGTACCGGTACTGAAATGCAGTATAATAAAAGTTTCCAAAGCATATCTTGACTACCTTTTTTTAATGGACTTCAACTTAAAGTGGCTCCACACTTTCGCAATTAACCAGCAAAATTCGTTGAAACTTTCATATAATGGTTATGCGACTACGTAGAGTTGATTTTATGAAAATCTAAACATTCCGATAGTTTGGGGACTTATTTGGAAAAAATACCAAACAATTGAATTTTCGTCAATTTTAATATTTTCTGTTTTTTGTGTGTGTGGCATTGTTCAGAACAATGACAACAAAAATAAAATGAAAAGAAGCATTTCTAATTAACCCTACAAATATTTTATTAATCGCAAAATAGGTAACACATGTTACACAAAGTGTTTTTTATTGAATTGTAATGATAAAAGTGATTATCTATAAGCTAAAAGCAAACAGGACACAACGATCTATACATATAGAGTGGGAAATTGAACAAAATATACACAATGGCTTTATAATTAATTTATTTTACATTTTACAATCACTTCGATCCGGGTGTGAGTTATCTTCCCTAAAAAAAATCGGAACTTTTTGCAGAGGGGTGACGTTTACACAAAGACAGTTCACTCGGTTTACATATAACAAAAATGCTGGAAATAAATCAAAAATATGATATTAAAATTATCAATTTATTGTTCTTTAATGGAACCAAATTACCATCAGTCATGTATACACTTTGGACATCATTCCACAGTCCGCTAACTCACGGTATATTTATAATTACATGTCAGGTACATATGTGACCAGAGGCTATCGCATGGTATGCCGTTCTCACGTGCACTCACACATGCATTTCATAGGTATCTTGATATTTTACAAAACATTATTTTCACAGAGTAAGAAGACTACATTTGTAAACACGATTGTAACAGCGAAAATCGTAACGACCTCGAGCTTATGAACTCGTGTAAGCACGCGATATGCACATGTGAGGTCGGTACGTCCGCATTCCATGCGTTTCCTATATNTACGTGTGATTATACATTTCCCGTTAAAATCTCGATATTGAGTGTTGACATATCATCAGCACGCACGTGTACTATTGTTTACCAGGGGCCTGTTCTTTTATGCAGAGCAAACGGTTTGACCGTTTATAAATGTAACAATTTCGAGTATAAATCCTGGCGGACCTGCAAAGGTGTATGCAGGCCTTGCAAGGCTTTTTCAAGGCTCGCCTGAAAGCAGCATCAGATTACTAGGTCCCACCTTATTTAATAAACAAACAACAGTGGTCCGATCGGTTTGACCGTTTAAACGAAAGGGCCCAGGTGTAACTATAATTTGCACTACGATATTGAATGCCCGATATGCAATGCGGAAATGACGACATGGTGTACATGCACATTTCGATCAAGATAATTGAGTCCGAGCTGTACTTTTTCCGGAAGTATGTTACGAAAATGGACGGTTGACGATGGTTCTTTATAATCAATGAACATGTCGAGCGATAAAATCCATTCAGTTCAACCTCAATGTGGCCTCAAGCTAAACATACAGTGTAGACCTAAGTTATCTACCATTTTATGGAAAAAGTAAGACTTGATGTGAATGTCAGTTGGTCAAAATGTGGTATATTGAAATGAGGTTTATGAGGTCAAAAACCAACTAGTTGACCTTGACCTCAAGTACCTAACACTATATACATTTGCAGGAAGCAGAGTCATCTGTATAGCCAATGGTTTAAGTAAAATCTAGTTATATCTGAATTCTCTTACTACTTTCATTGAAAGAGTTTAAATTAACAGTGAGCAATATTATCTGTTTTATGATGACATGTTATCACTTCAAACAATACCTTGGATACTTCATACAATCATGTATAAACTTTATCTAATAAAATGTCTGATTTTCACTCTTTCTGTTTTGATACAGGTGGAGAACAAAGGTATGGCTGAGGTGCTTAATTTGGAGCTAAATACATATGAAGTAAAAGAGATTCCTGCCAGTGAGTTATCAACATTCCACTATAGACAAATATCTAGTGACCCTGCACGTGTAGACATCAGCCTCAAGCCTCGTGTGAAACGTGTGGAGTATGTCACCCAGCGACAGTTGCTCTCCAAGATGGCCGCTGGGAAGCAGCTGACAAGGACCACGTTGGGTGGCTCAGGTGGAAATAATTTTGTGTTCACAACAGGGCGACCAGTTGTCATGGAGGCAAGTAACGGTAAAATGTCTTCCTCTTCAACTACGGCATTGCTTGACAATCAAAAGTTTGGTAAGATAGACAGTATCGTGCAATCAGTTACACCAGTGTCCTCAACACAGCCAAGGTTTGTGACAGTGTCAGCAGCACCTAGTCATGGAGGCACGGTGCTCACATCGTCTAATACAAACAGTCTGGCACAGGGGGTCGGTAAACAGTCCAGTAGTATGCCAGTAGTTATACAAACGGTGGAGTCTAAACCAGGCATTAAACCAAGTGTTGTGGGTGGTATCAGTTTACTACCACCAAACCTTGCCTCGCTGGCAAACGCTCAGAAGGCGTCCACGTCACAGCCAGTGACTGTGAGTATGACATCTAATCTAGTTCAGTCCTCAACACCTACTAACACGATAGTAATTCAGTCACTGCCCAACCAATCTCCCTCAAATACAGTCGTAGAAAACTTACTGGAAGCTAGCTCCATGGACAGATCTGCAAATGACAACCAACAAAACAGTGTTACCTCATTGACTGGGCCCCTGACTTCTGTACCAATGTCTGTGGTACATGGTCTAGTAATTGAGGAGTCAGCGATTCAGCTGTCCTCCCTCTCCCCAGTCACCAACGGGGAGAAAAACATGGATATTTCTGTTGTGGTTGAGGAGGAGGAGGAGGAACAAGATAACTCTCCACAGGAGGAGTTACAAAAGTCCCTTGATACAGACACAATTTTATGTAAAAACGAGGTTGAGAGCCTTGACAATATAATGGATACCAGTGATACCATTGTGGAAGCTACGGGAGAATTTCAGGAAGCGGAAATGGTGCAACTAGTACAGGACCAGATTCTGGAGGAGGAGGGTGTGGAGGGCATACAGGTGCCCTCGGACCACATCATCACTGCCTCAAATATCTACCAGACAGCTGATGGCATAATTATCATCCAGAACCAAGATGGGAGCACGGTACAACTCCAGGGTGGGGACGGAGAGCCCATTCCCTTGGAAACTGTACAGGCCCTGCTGGCCATGGACGGACAGCTTTTACAGACCACACTGGAAGAAGGGGAACAACTCCAGCTCGACCAGTAAATATGGACATTGAAACTGCAATAATATCACTAGATCGTAATAGCTATAGACCATGTTGAGGGGAGGGAAACAACAGTTCTAATTATATTACAGCACTTTTGGCTAGTACAAATTTAGTTATATAATATAAGCTTCTACCTGGATAAATCTCACTTACTCCTTCACTGTTTTGTAATTTGTAACTTTTGACAGACAACACATTACAGGAAACTTGTCAAATTTGCAGCATTACTTGCTCTTTTGTAAGACATAGCTATTCTGATAATAGGTATAATTCATGAAAACAATGTATTTCAGTCAAAACTGTTGCACAAATGTATCTGTTTAGAGTTCTGTTGTATAGCCGGAATTCCCCAGCTGTAGTATGAATACTTTCTGTATACATTTTTGGACAAGAACATTATTCATAAAATAGTACCGTGATGTAGGTAAATCAAAATTTTCATTGGAATTAAATTGAGTACTGGTTTCCAGGCTTGGTTTAGTAGGGATACAAAGTATAGTATACCATCACTGTAGACAATGACATAAATTTGTGAAATCGTTAAATTTTAAGTGTATGGGAAAGCGGTTGACTCTATGGCCTGGTTATAATTAAAACAAAACTTGTAGCTGTAGTGAAATCAGATGTTAACTCCTCTAAAAAATTCTCTTTCCCCAGAATAAATTCAACATCTTCCACATCTAGTCAATAAATTGAAGACGTATATCTTTTTTTCTCAACTTTTGGAATTTAAATTAAAAAGTTTAAACAAAGTCAAGTGAAGTTAACTTTTAGTTATAGTTGTAATTTTGTAATTTTGGATTTAAACATAGTAACTAGCTTTAAGGATCTCTGTGCCACTGCAGGCAAAACACTTAAGAGAATTCCACTGTAGTTTTTTGTACTTACAGCAACCTCCTTTATTTCATTTTGGATAATTGTAGTGCGACTAACTATCATGACTCGGTCAAGGTACTACAGTACTACTAGAGCAACAGTATAATGAATAGAGGTCCTGGGTTTGAATCCTGGTATATATGGTGCCATTGCAATTTAACACATTTCGAACACTGTTGTTACTTTTTTGTTTTTTTCATCTAAATAACTTTTTCAATAAAGTTTTGCAAGATATTTTTTTCATATATATGTCAGATCTATAGACATGTCAAAAAGATATTTCCGACGTAGAGGTTCAGTTTTTGGCAGTGGTACAGGGGTCCATGTACACCTTTATTAAAGTGTAGCTTTTATGTGTTGAGCTACCACTTGTCTATAACTGTCGGTTAGATCATCTGCCAAGTACTTCTTTCTATCTGGCTATGAAAAAAAAAATACACACACAAAAACTTTTTCTCAAATTCACCAGCCCAGAAAGATATAGGTATAAGAGGAAGGTGTTAATTAGCCTTCACACAAGTTTTATTTCAGAAAGTTGTTGATGACTTGGTTTTCCTTGACCCAGGTATCTTTGTCAAGTGTTTATGTATACCGGGAAATGTTAGTCACAGTGCAGCTGCCCTTTTCACTCTCCATTATGAGGACAAATCTCTCAAAAATCTCTCAAAAACTTTTCACTGCAGTTAAATTTATGCCTTTTCGTCCTCTGCAATAAGGGCAAATTTATCATAATGGCCAATGTGACAGCACAGTTTACCCTATATAGTCATTACATGCAAAGACAAAATGTATACTGGATAAATAAGGTTTTTTTCACTGGGCAAATGTTTCAGGACAGTGTGAGTGAATATCATTACACATGTTTCCATACATAGAATTTCCATTATGAAGGGTAACATTTGCTTCAGTTCCCTTGAGCAAGTATACAGTACACAGTGCCAGGTAGTGAGCTTTACCGATCCCAAATCACAACATAAGGTGTTGTCTACAATGACCAGGATATAGTTACTAGAAGTTAAAGGTCAAAAGAATGAATACATTGAAGATGTGATATACCAACCTGAAGCAGTAAATCACACTGAATTCATATTAAGGCAGAATAAAGTACAGTCAATCTTCGATGTTTCAAACTTTGCGAGACTATCTGGGAAAATTAAAAACATTGAGACTTTGACTCGCAAATGTTGATCTTCATTTTCTTTTTAGATTTTGCATATACTGCATAAGACCAAGTGTGGTTTGGAAGTGATGGAACACTGGGCTAAAAACTCATTTGAAATCTGTAATCATTGGTTTTATACAATTAGAAAAAATGTGTCATGTACACTGTATATAGTTTGCATGTTTGGGTGTTAAAATGACCCCTGGACACACTAATATTCTTGTACAGGTAATTGTTTTACTTTTATTTATTAGTTGTAATTTCCAATGATTTCCTAATGATAGGACCTTGATTGTAGTTTGAAACGGTGAGAAATTTGACTCATCAAAGTTTGATTCATAAAGGGAATATCAGTAGAGTTGTATAAAGATCGACAAAGCCAGTAATTTGAATCTTCAAAGTTTGATTTATAGAAGTTTGACTGTACTTTGGTCATGATTTAAATATTTTGTGAATGTTTGTAGTGCTAATGTATACTGGACTACACCTGACACGTTGTAATGTGTATGTGTACCGTGATATCAGTAGTTTACGTCAAGAGAGAAGACAGTTGGACGTGCAAGGTTTGGAATGGAAGGTTTAGGTATGATTCGGTACCTTTATAGAAAATTATGAGTTCAAAATATTTTGAATATTGTACATTTTTTTGAGATGTTAAATATCAGGCTGTTATGAATTGTGCGAGAGACATATTGTCGATGTACCAATTATAACACTCCTAGTTTTGCGCACTCTGCTATAGTTAACATTTCAGCGCAATAAAGAGTTGGTGTCGAGACGTTTTCTTCAATAGTTTACAATATTGTTAGAATGGAAATAATTTATAAACAATGTACATGATTAAGTGCTCCAAGCTAGTGTCAAAAGTGCTAAACTGTGTCAAGTGTTACAAGTATGCTTACAGAGGGGTGGTAGACCATGTGATGTGAGCTTTGCCAGATATGTTATTACTGGTGAAATACTGGAACATCCAATATTAATAGTCCTACAGCCATAGTGGAATCTAGGATTTATGGCAGAGCAAATCTTGCTATAAAATATGTGTAGCAATATCATGTTTTTATACAAAGTTGTATTATACATTCTGTTCATTGTCAAACAGTTGTAACAGATTACATATTTATTGGCAAACAGTTACAAATTACTGTATATGTAAGACCTGTCTTTGTTCTAATACCAGGAAATATTGAAAGATAGTGAGAATTCTTTTCAAAGAGCAGCTATAGAAATTTTAATAAATATCTTAAACTTTTTGCAAAGACAGTTTAATGTATTAAAATTCTTACTCCTTGGATGTATGGACTGATGTGTTGTTTTTGGTTGTCAGTAGTTCAAGATTGATTATAAGCCTATGCAATGATGTAGTGTGTGGTCAGAAAGGCCAAGTGACGTTGGTGGTACAGCCTCTCCACTGTCTGTCAACTTTCAATAAAACCCCTCTACTGTTCAAGAACAGCCGAGTTGATTTTGACTCCATGGTTTGGATTATTGTTGAACCAAGGAGAGGCAACCAATTATTTGAGGTAGTAGCCCTCCTGGGGACAGATGGGAAGTGCTGATTAGGTGGGAAATTCAGTGCAAGTAAAGGGATTTTAACGATATCATCTAGAACATTTTTGATGAAGGTGATTCAATGTGTATGAACAGAAGGTGTGTCCCCTGGCACGCCGGGGGAAAAGTTGTGGGGCCCAATTGGCGAAATAAATGTTAAAAATCCTACTCCGTTTGTACCTATAAATGGGATTTTAACGGATTTGGTATGGAGCATCATTGGGCAAAAGGAGCTCGATTTTGTATAAACGTAGGATAATGCCCATTTAAACGAAGATGGAAAGTAGGGTATTATCGTTTCTAAAATACTTATACAAAACAGCTCCACGGATTGGGAGCGTATTTGACCTGATCACTAGGGCAAAGTTGTGTTTTGTGAAAGTTTTTGACGTTGGTAAAACCCCTTCTACTGGAAAGTGGGGCTCAAATAGAGGACACTTTAGGTGTACAGATATGTACTTAAAAATAACGGAGGTCACTATATAATCATATATGCACTTTGTGTAGTAGTCCGAATTATTCTGACGTTTTATCAACTTTTTTTAATATCGGTCTGGCGTCGATTAACGCCAGACCGATATAAAAAAAAAAGTCGATAAAACGTCAAAATAATTCGGACTAGCTGTGTAAGTGTAGAGAAACAAATATTAGCTCGCTAGTAGGATTAGTCCGGGGTACGTTAAACCTGGGTCGGAGCATAAAACGTTTAGATCGCCACACCAACCACATGAACAATTGCTGAGCATGAAGGCACAGCAGAATTATAATCTTGGGATATAACATGGAAAGTTGAAACCCCTACCCTATAACCATATATGAAATTTTCATATTTCGAAGAATCGCTCCGGGGCCAAGTCCCGCCCCAGGAGACTAGTCCCTTCATCATGACATGGGAACAGTTGTGATATTTACGAACAAAATTAAAACAGTATTACATGTTAAGTTAATGAGCATTGGTTTATTTATTCTAGTGCCTTTGACTTAACCGTTAACGTTTGGTACAAACGGTCAGAAGCACACGGATCCCGGCCCTTCTCTGTTACATACTATTTACATATACATGTGGTGTTTTTCATTGCTCTGTGAAGTTGACCATGACACCAGGCAGTTGTTCATTAGGTTTTGTTTCCGGAGACAACGATCTGGGCAAGGATGTATCACTTGCAGGTTGTGCACATGTTCGGTTTCTGCTGTGATATACTTGCTGTCCTCGATTTACGAACTTTTCGTTCTACACACCGCACAGCGTGTAGCTTGAGCGTCTTTAAAGATGTTATTTACAGCACCACGACAGAACGAATGATCTAGTGATAGGCTCTTCCATGGCTCTTCAATAATCCAGGGACCTTTTTTCATGGCCACTAAAGAAGCTGTTTTAGGAGTAGTGCATCTGGAATGCGACAGACGCAGCCAACCAAGCACACATAATGCCGCTACAGGAGACTGATAGGAGGTGGATACTTTATCTTACCACTAGGTGGCTAGAAGACCAAATGAACGATCAGGTGATCGAGAAGTTAATTGACTAGGATCTTTCCAGCATTACTGATAGTGATAGATTTCTGTGGCAGTCACTGCATCAACAATTTCCTGTCCGCTAGTTTAGATGAATAATAAACATATCCTTGAACTATTGCGGCATTTTACCACGTCTTCGATACAACGACATTTTTAATTGGATAAGAACCATGAATTATTGGTTGATAGCAGACAAACAACGCGTTTTTATTTAACCCTTAGATCTATTTAAAAATATGACAAGCTTGCAATCAGAACGTTCCGCCGAACTGACCACAAAGTGACTTCAAATAGTATATATATAAATCTGCCCACTGCTCATGTGTTGACGAGCGAAGTCAATAGATAGGTGATTTTGATTGACGTGAATAAACATCTGGTAAAAAGCATGGTCGACCAAATGGCGACTGAAAATGAAAAGACCTTCCCAAAGATATCCAGTTTCATAGGGACATAAATGGACAAAAATCGAGCAGCTTGTTGCGAAATCAAGACATATTGGCATGAAGTGACCGTTGGAATAAATTAAGATTAGATTAATTAGGTAACCTTGCATATTGTAGGCGTATAAGCAGAGAGGTAGACACGAAAAAGAGATATTTTACTGTGTCGAAAAGATATAATTAACAAGTTGCTATATTAAAGTGGAAAATAAAAGTCGTGATTCGAAAATGTTTGAAAAATGATCAAACCCAGACAGCAAACGACCTTCATAAATGATCGTTTCCAACATTTGTTCACCCTCGTTATATAATTCACCATAATACTAGTACACTCAGATATGTTGATTATTTCTAAAATATACCTTTATCACAAAACAAAAACAGTTCATGCAGCTGTCCAGAACCTTGCCCGCTTAATTAGCAAATAAATTCGTCAGCACTCGGGTCCTTTAATCGATTTTAAAGAATCGTATACATATTTTTGGACTTGTTTGTAAGCAAATCTCTTAATATCTACATTTTTTTCTGAACAAAGTTTCTTGCATGTCAGACAGTTTAGCGGTACATGTAAAAGCCTCTGTTTGAGATTTAATTTTTGATCTGTTTTTAAAAAGATTCTTCAATTAAATAGGCACTGAATTGGTCGTCTTCCTCCAAATTCTGGTTCTTCATTGTAATGAGACCAATGATCTGTAGGAGGGTGAAGTGTTCGTGTTCTTGGTCGCTGCCCAGCAATCCTCAACCTTAAATCGCTGCCCAGCAATCCTCAACCTTTTCAGGTTGACACAGTTGTTATTGAGATCCATTGCATTAAGAGTGGTCTCATCGACTTTCAGCCTGGAGGCATGGCTGCATTTTAGTGTCAACCGCCACTTTGAAGTTTAAGTGAGGGGGAATTTTCACAACATCTTTTGCACTTACTGGTCTAGTGGCAAAACAGAGTCGAAATGGTAGGAGATTCAAGAGATTTGTGATGGTTCTGTCAGAGTTGTTTCCCCTCACCTTTCATTCTCGCTTATATCTACCAGTGAGTATCGGGGCTTGCCCATGGTCGCTAACAGGGAAGTACTGCATAAGGCTTGCCCATTTCACGCAGACTAGGAAACGGTGGAGGCTGCAAGGTGCACACAGCACAATGTATCGCACTGAATAGATCAAGTAGACCATACAATATGTATCTAAATATCATATTATCAGTATTATCAGTAAATAGTACCAGCTACAATACAGCTAACCTAATTCAGGAAAAAATATGATTTTGGAGTAGATTACTCAGATAACTTTTTACTAACTTTGTGACATAGATTAGATAATATTTAATTACACGCGCAGAGATGATTAATTTATGTTTTGATATGTGACTATAGTATAACCCCGATGTATCGCAACCTCCTTACATTGACACTTTATGCGGTACAACCAGATGTCCTGTTTAAATGCCAGGTAGACAAACGCTGGTTCGTTTCGGTGCTTATATCCAACACTTTTAAAACAATGAATACTCCAACATACATGCATATATGCAATTTTTATTATACATAATTGTTTTTAGAAGAGTAATTAGTTTAGAAATACTCAATTAAATCTGGTATTAAGATCTATGTGTCACATGCAAGATACATGTACGATCTGGTATGAAACAATTGTGCACGTATTGACAATGAAAAACCAATATTCTTTCGTATGTAACGATAAAATAAATAGGCAGCCAACTTCAAGCCAGAAAAATGACGAAAAAATTGGAACTCTTCTTTGCTTGAGATAGGACAAAGAGCGGTTAGACTCTCCCCTTAATAATCTTTCTACGTCTCCCCGGCCTCTTTTTCCCTACAGAAACCCCAATATTTGAACAGTGCACTAGTGCAGATCAAATGCTATGTAACACCTAGTACGTATCCCCGAACTTTGTACACGGAAGGAATTAGCGGCTTTACAAACATTGATAGAGAGGTTATGCTGTCCTGTGTACAAGGACAAGCGAGAACAGTTTGATCGGTGTTAAATGACATTTTCATCACGTACATGTATGTATATAACATTACCACCGAAAGTATAACCAACCCGAAAAGTTGTTTAAGGAATATATGGTATTAAGGATTGGTATAATTTACATAGGTATAGATATATATTTATATATATCTTTTATTCCATTACCTCCATTCACAATTTTCTTGGAATTTACAATACATTTCCTGAAACCTATGACACATCATGATTATTTGTACCCGGAATTGAGCTTTCATTTTTCCTCGTGCTTGCCTATCAATATATTTCCCGTCGGATACTGCCCTGTTCAAGGGGTGCGGTTTTTATATCGGAATATGTGTAGGTGGTTAAAAAACCCTGCAGTGCTATGTGTAGACATATGCTGTATCTATTTATAACCACGCGAACTGAAGTGTGACGTTAAGATCACCCACCATTGGCGAAGATGTTACTAAAGTAGATCCCTCTCTGTGTCGTTCAAAGGTCATTTAAACGAATGTTTCATGTGACACGCTAGTCAACAAACTCCACCGTCCAGACCAGCCATGGCGAATCCGAACTCTAGCGGAGACAGCGACACAGATCTACCCGGAAGTGAGACTTCGGACGAAGGTAAGGCGCGACTTAGGGTATGTTCGACACGAGTACTACGATAGCTCCATAATATATCCGATGTATAGACCGCGAACGATACTCCAGAACCGGGTCTATCAAGCCCATAGCTGTGATGTGATTACCTTTCAATCAGACATCTGACATTGTGATGTCGACTATCCAGTACACGTGACGTTGTGATGTCTACTTTCCCGTACACATGTGACGTTATGATATCGACTGTCAAGTACACACGTGACATTGAGACGTCGACTCTAACGTACACATGTGACGTTATGATATCGACTGTCCAGTACACACTTGTGACTTTGTTACGTCACCTCTCCAGTACACATGTGACGTTATGATGTCGACTCTCCAGTACACATGTGACGGTATGATGTCGACTCTCACGTACACACGTGACATTGAGACGTCGACTCTCACGTACACATGTGACGGTATGATGTCGACTCTCAAGTACACACGTGACATTGAGACGTCGACTCTCACGTACACATGTGACGTTATGATGTCGACTCTCCAGTACACATGTGACGTTATGATGTCGACTCTCCAGTGCACATGTGACTTGTGATGTCGACTCTTTCATACACATGTGACGGTATGATGTCGACTCTAAAGTACACATGTGACGTTATGATGTCGACTCTCCAGTGCACATGTGAATTGTGACGTCGACTCTCACGTACACATGTGCCGTTATGATGTCGACTCTCCAGTACACATGTGACGTTATGATGTCGACTCTCCAGTGCACATGTGAATTGTGACGTCGACTCTCACGTACACATGTGCCGTTATGATGTCGACTCTCCAGTACACATGTGACGTTATGATGTCGATTCTCACGTACACATGTGCCGTTATGATGACGACTCTCCAGTACACATGTGACGTATGATGTCGACTCTCCAGTACACGCGTGACGTTGAGACGTCGACTCTCACCTACACATGCGATGGTATGATGTCGACACTCACGTACACATGTGACGTTATGATGTCGACTCTCCAGTACACACGTGACGTTGAGACGTCGACTCTCACGTACACATGCGATGGTATGATGTCGACACTCACGTACACATGTGACGTTATGATGTCGACTCTCCAGTGAACATGTGGCTTGTGATGTCGACTCTCATGTACACATGTGCCGTTATGGTGTCGACTCTCCAGTACACATGTGACGTTATGATGTCGACTATCCAGTACACATGTGACATTATAATGTCGACTATCCAGAACACACGTGACGTTATGGTGGTGACTTTCCAGTACACATGTGGCGTTATGATGTCGACCCTCACGTACACATGTGACTTGTGATGTCGACTCTCCAGTACACATGTGACGTTATGATGTCGACTCTCCAGTACACATGTGCCGTTATGGTGTCGACTCTCCAGTACACATGTGACGTTATAATGTCGACTATCCAGAACACACGTGACGTTATGGTGGTGACTTTCCAGTACACATGTGGCGTTATGATGTCGACTCTCACGTACACATGTGACTTGTGATGTCGACTATCCAGTACACATGTGGCGTTATAATGTCGACTCTCCAGTACATATGTGACGTTATGATGTCGACTCTCCAGTACACATGTGACGTTATGGTGTCGACTCTCCAGTACACATGTGTTATGATGTCGACTCTACAGTACACATGTAACGTTATGGTGTCGACTCTCCAGTACACACGTGACTTGTGATGTCGACTCTCCAGTACACACGTGACTTGTGATGTCGACCCTTCTCTCAGTACACATCTGGCGTTGTGCTTTCCTCCATCACGATGTTGATTATGTGTAAATTGGTTTTGCAAAGGAGATTTTTGTTAACACAAAGTTGATTTATTCAGTTGCCTTGGTTTTGTTGACAAATAAATACAAAATTATTCCAGTAATATTCGTCGTATTGATAATCAATTTCACTCAAAAATTAATTTTCAGTTTCACATGCTGATAGCGGCTTCAAGAAATTCTACTCGAGTGTGAAAAAGTTGACGAAGCGGTAAGTTTTTCTTTGTATGACAGGCAAAAATATGTTTGTATTTCGATGGGCGTCTGAAATAGGAACAGAAGACAGAAGTACATGTGATGCGTGTGTAGAAAAAAATAGAAAGCTACTTGACGTGCTTCGTCTTTATAGAAATACTAGAACATTTTGTCTGCAGTTACCCTCACCCACGCTCTAAGTTAGCGTATTATCCTGAAGTAAGATAATGCGGTGATTTTCAGGGAACTAAAGGAATATGAAACGTGAAACCGGACTCGAACTCATGACCTTGATATCTCAGTTCTAGTGTTGTACTCAAAATCAAGAGTGGTTTGATGTCAGTTTATTGCAGTATATAGATACAGTGTATATATATATATTTACATTTGCATGGCATTGCCACTATATAGCCTCTTTGAAAGCTGTGTCTTTGATGGGACTTTAATAACCATACATCACGAGACACCAGTATTAGCGTATTAATACGACACTGACCGGAACTACAATATCCAATATAAATAAACATGACGGCTGCTGAAATATCGCTGGGCATTGTGAGATTTGACAATGTCATTGTAAATTTATGTGTAAAATAAAAAATAAAATAAAAATCACTTTTATTACAACGAAAGCAATATCGTACAAAATGCACATCGGTTGAAATCACCAATAACCATAACGCTCATGCAATTTATCAGAAATATCGTCTGTTACACTGCACTGATCAACAGGGGTTTCGTTACAAATGTCTGAAATACACATATTCTATAGACCTACTGACACATATGTTACAGACCTACTGATATGAGTCACAGCACACATTAACATTTCAGACATTTTGTAACGAACCTGTGCTCCGTCGCAAGATCACTCACTTCAAACGCTATCAGTTTCACGCGTCTCGCATCCACGGTTCCTGATTTCTGACGACATGTCAAATAACGAGGCCGTTATAGAATCTACCGACTGTTGTCAGGTTCCCATACTATCAACAAATAAAGTCACGCGTGGATTTTTTACAAAATGAGCAAAGAGAAAAGTTCGAATTAACTTCCAAAAATAACTCCGTCGTGGAGAGCAAGGTCGGATTTACGGTGTTCACTGTATTTGTCCATGCGCGAAATTTGTTCCGGGGAAAAATCTAAACAATTTCAAATCTAACTTTCAGCGCAGAGTTCTATTGATAAACTTAAATCACCCTATAGACATATCATACGCAATTGTATTGATACTGAATTGTGGAATAAAATTGAAGTATTTGTTAAAATTTCAAAGTACTACTTTGTTCGCCAATCCGCACGCGACAATACGCTGTTCAAACTATTGAACGAAATTGTGTGGACTGTCGATAAGGCGGGCATTTTTAATTTTAAATATAAATTATCAGTTAAAAAAGAACATAAGAGGTAGAGAAAACGTAAATATAAGTATTGAACTGTTTTTGTATGGTATTTATGATCTATTTGAATGACACCGCTAGCGCGCATTATGTTGTTTGCTTACAAAGCTGTGTCATTAAAGCAGTTCAATGCTTAATTGTTTTTGTTGAAACTTTGGGTAAATAAATGTATTCTCGCATCTCAAATACCAAAATATTTTAAAATGAAACATTGAAATTAACAATTATTTCACTCTCCTCGCAACACTTAAAAATAAGCAAATAAAAAAAGGACAGCTTCACATATATTTGGTGTTGGTTTGCAGAATATACTACTATTAGAATATAAACATTTCTGGTACGTGATCGCTTGTAGCAAACGGCAAGTAATTCGCATTTATAAAGACAAGTTAGATAAGACATGGATAAAACCGCTGGTTACTCAACACTGGTAGGCAGTTATCAGTGATTGTTTCTGTGTAAGTCTGTAATGTCGGCTAAGGTTATCTGTCGTCGGAGGTTCGATCCTTATCATTATATATAGGGGAGACAACTCACATCATGAACGTGGGCGGCTTTCGTCGATTTTCCAAAAACAAACCGTTGACAATCATTGGAGATAAGGGTTTTATAGAATAAATAAATTAGTAATATTATTGATGTGAAATACGTCGAAGTTATTACTAACATGTATGATGGAAGCCAAAGTTATGAAGAAGGTTCTCTGGCAAGTATCTTCCGACAGACAAGGGAAATAGATCCCAGTTCCGCAGTGACTATTCAGTGTAGAAGGAACATCGTTCCTGTCAGAGGGCTATACAGCTAGGCGTAGATATTTTGTGTGCTAATGAAGTGTGGTCCAGGTTTATTTCGTCATATTCCCAATATTATGCATTTTTGCACACTTATTGACAATATGAAATGTGTTATTTCTAATTTTCCAGTTCATAAAATCAAAGCATTCTACTTTTCCGTTGCAGTTGTCTTACGAACACCGTTAGGGGAAATAAGGAATTAAAACTGTCGGTAGTATAGGGGATGGTCTCAAGTACAGGGGAAATAAGGAATTAAAACTGTCGGTGGTATAGGGGATGGTCTCAAGTACAGTGGAAATAAGGAATTAAAACTGTCGGTAGTATAGGGAATGGTCTCGTGTGCAGGGGAAATAAGGAATTAAAACTGTCGGTAGAATAGGGGATGGTTTCGTGTACAGGGGAAATAAGTAATTAAAACTGTCGGTAGTATAGGGAATTGTCTCGTGTACAGGGGGAATAAGGAATTAAAACTGTCGGTAGAATAGGGGATGGTTTCGTGTACAGGGGAAATAAGGAATTAAAACTGTCGGTGGTATAGGGGATGGTCTCAAGTACAGTGGAAATAAGGAATTAAAACTGTCGGTAGTCTAGGGAATGGTCTCGTGTACAGGGGAAATAAGGAATTAAAACTGTCGGTAGAATAGGGGATGGTTTCGTGTACAGGGGAAATAAGGAATTAAAACTGTCGGTGGTATAGGGGATGGTCTCAAGTACAGTGGAAATAAGGAATTAAAACTGTCGGTAGTCTAGGGAATGGTCTCGTGTACAGGGGAAATAAGGAATTAAAACTGTCGGGGGTATAGGGGATGGTCTCAAGTACAGTGGAAATAAGGAATTAAAACTGTCGGTAGTCTAGGGAATGGTCTCGTGTACAGGGGAAATAAGGAATTAAAAATGTCGGTAGTATAGGGGACGGCCCGTGTACAGGGGAAATAAGGAATTAAACTGTCGGTAGTATAGGGAATGGTCTCGTGTGCAGGGGAAATAAGGAATTAAAACTGTCGGTAGAATAGGGGATGGTTTCGTGTACAGGGGAAATAAGGAATTAAAACTGTCGGTGGTATAGGGGATGGTCTCAAGTACAGTGGAAATAAGGAATTAAAACTGTCGGTAGTCTAGGGAATGGTCTCGTGTACAGGGGAAATAAGGAATTAAAACTGTCGGGGGTATAGGGGATGGTCTCAAGTACAGTGGAAATAAGGAATTAAAACTGTCGGTAGTATAGGGAATGGTCTCGTGTACAGGGGAAATAAGGAATTAAAAATGTCGGTAGTATAGGGGATGGTCTCGTGTACAGGGGGAATAAGGAATTAAAACTGTCGGTAGTATAGGGGATGGTCTCGTGAACAGGGGGAATAAGGAATTAAAACTGTCGGTAGTATAGGGGATGGTCTCGTGTACAGGGGAAATAAGGAATTAAAACTGTCGGTAGTATAGGGGATGGTCTCGTGTACAGTGGAAATAAGGAATTAAAACTGTCGGTAGTATAGGGGATGGGCTCGTGTACAGGGGAAATAAGGAATTAAACTGTCGGGAGTATAGGGAATGGTCTCGTGTACAGAGGAAATAAGGAATTAAAACTGTCGGTAGTATAGGGGATGGTCTTGTGTACAGGGGAAATAAGGAATTAAAAATGTCGGTAGTATAGGGGACGGCCCGTGTACAGGGGAAATAAGGAATTAAACTGTCGGTAGTATAGGGAATGGTCTCGTGTACAGAGGAAATAAGGAATTAAAACTGTCGGGAGTATAGGGAATTGTCTCGTGTACAGGGGGAATAAGGAATTAAAACTGTCGGTAGGATAGGGGATGATTTCGTGTACAGGGGAAGCAAGGAATTAAAACTGTCGGTAGTATAGGGAATGGTCTCGTGTACGGGGGAAATAAAGAATTAAAACTGTCGGTAGTATAGGGTATGGGGGGATGGTTTCGTGTACAGGGGAAATAAGGAATTTAAACTGTCGGTAGTATAGGGTATTGCCTCGTGTACAGGGGGAATAAGGAATTAAAACTGTCGGTAGGATAGGGGATGATTTCGTGTACAGGGGAAGCAAGGAATTAAAACTGTCGGTAGTATAGGGTATGGGGGGATGGTTTCGTGTACAGGGGAAATAAGGAATTAAAACTACGGTAGTATAGGGGATGGTCTCGTGCAAAAGGGAAATAAGGAATTAAAACTACGGTAGTATAGGGGATGGTCTCGTGTATAGGGGAAATAAGGAATTAAAACTGTCGGGAGTATAGGGGATGATTTCGTGTACAGGGGAAGCAAGGAATTAAAAATGTCGGTAGTATAGGGGACGGCCCGGGTACAGGGGAAATAAGGAATTAAACTGTCGGTAGTATAGGGAATGGTCTCGTGTACAGAGGAAATAAGAAATTAAAACTGTCGGTAGTATAGGGAATTGTCTCGTGTACAGGGGGAATAAGGAATTAAAACTGTCGGTAGTATAGGGGATGATTTCGTGTACAGGGGAAGCAAGGAATTAAAACTGTCGGTAGTATAGGGTATGGTCTCGTGTACAGAATCACAAATGACTCCATCATTGCCCAACATGTTTCTGTAACCACGCCACTGCCTACTCAAACTATGAAATCAAACTCCGAAACTAACTCTCCTGTTTTTGTAATAGGGTTGCTAGCATCAGTGAGTCCCCAGCTACGAGTCCAGTGTCCACGGAAAAGACTGGTCATTTCACAGACATTCCATCCAGCCCCCGCGGACAAACAGGTGACGCCGCCTTCGGGAACGTCTTCGATGACCCAAGTTATGTACGAACTTCGGATTCGGTGTACGACTTCAGCTACAGGTCACGTGGAGTGGCTGTGCTTATTGTCAATGTGACCTTCCTGAACCCGAAAATATCTCCAAATAGAGAATATGCCAAACGCGATATTGAAGTGTTTGAAAAGATCTTAAAAGCCCTGAACTTCACCGTAATAAAACTGAAGGATAAATCTACAGCGGAATTACTGCAAAGACTTGAAGGTAAGTCGTCTTCTTTACAGATGCATATCAGCCTGGTTTACCCTGAATCGGAATGGCTGTTACAATCCGGCACACCGGTCACAGGCATTATCTGTAGATTTACCTGATTCTAGATAACGGCTGTTCCTACTGGGCTTTACTGGGCGCCGTTTTGGTATACAAAAAGTTTCATTTTGTTGATTAACTCCTCCTTACTTTACGCAGAAATACGTTCGACATTGACCTCGGACTGCGACTGCTTTTTGTGCCTGATCAGCTCACATGGTCTGGAAACGAGGATACCCAGCGAGAAACAGAGGCGACAACACACGACCTTCACCTACGACCGCTGGATACCTACCGATAATATCATCAGACCGTTCACAGAGAGCTACTGCCGGTCTCTGAGAGGGAAACCTAAACTCTTCTTTATACAGGTGATTTTCATGGTTGTCTCGCAGTAAAACTGGCAGATCTACGGTGTTACTTCATGTTGTATAGCTAACTTTAGCAACAGACCTAACGAATTCGTACAAACTCTCATCTAGTTTTACATAGCCTGGTTTTGCACTTGTCAAATTTTGGCTGGACCTGACATATACATTACACAGCTTGCTGTATTTGACGGGTCGGTATGGTTTGTAAAGCTGTCTTTATTTCTTTGTTTTTAGGCCTGTCGTACCGTTCACGGATCTGCGGACTGTGACTCAGTAGACCGGGGTATCACAGTAACGGACGCCGTACGTGCTCCCCAGAGTCGGCGATATGACGTCAGAGACCATCCTGAAGGGATGGACGTGGATAGAGACAGTCCGATGGGGATAAATAACTTACATCCATCAGTAGGGGATGAGCAGGGCGATCCGAACGGCTCATCGCAAGACCTGTCTCAATCTATTCGGGGGAAGATCAACCTAGATGAAATTCCTTTCGCAGATGACGATGATACAGAAGACAGTGATGATCCAGACTTGTCAGCGGCAGACAACTCGCGTGTGCCCTATTACCCGCCCCGCCCGCGCCATTCTGGTGATGTGGACGTCTGTACAATCCCGTGTTATCCTCACTGTCTCGTCATGTTCTCATCTGCTTCAGGTAAATATCAAGGTCACAAACATATTCCATTAAACGTAAGTGAAGGTAGAATGTATAGCTAAGATCATCAACACGTGTCTTGCCATTTTTTCCAGGTCTGAGTAGTGCCAACGTTGATCACGTGACTATGGTTGTCTGGTTACATAATTATGTTTGTTCTTTCATAACAGAGCGTTTCGCATGGTCCAATGACTTCAAGGGAGGATGGTTGCCATACTGCATGTATGAAGTCCTCTATAAGATGGCACAACATAACTTCCGGATTGACCTTCTGGAGGCGTTAACGGAAGTGAACGAGTTGATGGCGAAAAGTCTGGAGACAAACGTCCTCGGTGATAAGGTCATGCATAAAGTGAAGTCCGCGGCCTGCATCTACCATATGCTTACCAAAGATATTTACCTTACACCCAAATACGCCCCAGTACCTGTGGTTGATAGGGTACAAGTCTCAGCAGTGTAGTCATGGTAACGATGATACATAGGGTAAAACAGGGATAGTGGAGCCAGTGACGGATATGGGTTTTGCGTTATTTTTTGACGTCACAGTTACTCATTTTGAAGCCGTTGTCGTTTGAACGTTTATGTGACAAAAATCGGTCTCATAGTTTAGCATTTCTATTTTTTTTTCATATCATCCTACTTGTTTTTTGGTCTGCAGCTTTAGATAATAATTCTAGTGCTTTATTTGTCATGTTGCACGAATCTGTAGAAACATATGCATCTTTCTGTGCCATTTACAATTTTCAATCGCTCCCTATAATGTTCAACAGACCATCGAATCCGATAAAAACGACGCAAGTTGAGCTACCGACCATTGTGACGTGGTGATAACTATAAGTTCGGTTTGATATTCTGTTGTGCTAACCTATATGCTTATATGTTCAAAATGTGTATAATTTTCGGTGTTCGTATTGTGTAGAACACCAATTATTGAATAAAAGATTTATTTTTAATTTTCCCGTGTTCCCTTTTTTCATTGGACAAAGATCAATGCCTCGTTATATACACAAGGGCAGACAACTCATTTAGGACACAAGCTGATTTTTTTATGGTTTTGTAATAATGTTTTTATTTATTTATACAGCTATCATTATTCATCCTTGGTCCCAGTTTAAAATCACACTTACGCTAAAATAAGAATTTGTTACAACTATATATATTTATATATCATCATTGGGGATGGCATTTTTACCGAGAGTTGATCTAAACCCCTAAAACGTTTAAAATTATTCTGAAAACCTAAGAGTAGGTCCAAATGTAGCTGTAACAAATTCTCAAGTCCCTGTGGATAATTTGCGCTAGGAACTCCAGTCACTTTTTTTCCGAAAACGAAAGTAACGTATTTGACCGCAAATAAGCCCCCTCTCGCTAATGTCCTGAGAAAAGAGTGGATGCCTGCTATTAACCCCCCTCCATAAATTTATCTCTCTAAAGTATGCATGTCAATTGTTGTCTCCTAACATAAGCAAATTAGCTAATTGATTGAACAAATATTAACCCAAGTTACAATTCTACAATTAATTATGTCACTGAATTAGGCCCAATAGTAAATAGCATGCATGTCATGTGATGTACCCTTATGATTCTGTTTGTCTTTTTTTAGAAATGATTGTGTAATAATGCATTCAAGAATGAACTATGGATGAATATCATAAGTTATTATGAAATATAATGTAAACATAACACAATTTTAAGTTTTCTTAATGACTGAACTTAAAACAAAAAGCATCATTCTGTTGCTGAAAGAACACCATGCTTTCCTTTTTAACGGTTGTGAATTTTGCAGATTTTTACATAAAACGAAATGTTTCTCTTGTATCAAACCCTTTATATGTATGGTCTGTATTAATTAAACAAATTACTAATCAAGTTTTTAGAGTTGTTTTAGAAAGGTGTTATAGTATTCAAATTGAATAATTTTTCGTATTTAACCATTCTGTCGTTGTAAGTTCGTACAAAATTAGCATTCTGAATTTGTATCAACCAGTAAACACCAACTACGTCAATTTGGAAGACTTTTATTCATAAAAAAAAAACATGCTTCTTGCTCATAATGTTTCCAGTCTGCACTCAAATAAGTTGTTTTGTTGTTTATTTTATGATATAGACAATGGTTTATTCAGCCTTGTATACTTAAATTGCTAAGGCTATTGGACTAGCTATGAAATATGCTGAAATAAGAAATGATACAAAACGTTGCTTAATAAAATGAATTGTCGCATAGAAAAATGGTTCAGAAGAAAACAACAGCACAATTAAACGTATTTACTTGTGGTGGCGTTCTCAAGTCTTCAGCCAGTTGTTTTTCTACAACATGAACAATTATACGTACATGCTATGTATTTTGGTCTTACATCGAAATAGTGGCCTATATCCGAGAGAGCGGACATTTGTTAACAGAGTGGATACTCGCAATTAAGCCCCTCCCTTCTTTTGGTCACTCTTTTTTCACTAGGAGTAAAGGCTTATTTACGATCAAATATGGGAAGTGCCTTTTTGTCATATTAGACCATCACTTCTCTATTGTTGTAGTCAGTGTTGTTTTAACTTGATTTTAAGGATAAACGTACCACTGTCAATAACTGTAAGTACTGGAAACAGACTTCAATTCGAGACTACGTTTTACCACACCTTATCATTCCTACAAAACATTTAATTATTTATTGATGACGTCATTATTAGTTTGACGCTTTCACAAAAGGATTTTAACATCTTAAAAGTGCAATCATATTGAAATGGGGCAACTCGGACGGGGTAACATGATACCTCGCCCGGTCATTCTGAAACAACAACAACAACAACAACAAGAACACGTGACAAGAGGATCCCAGTTATTAGGGACAGCAGGCATCTTCAGTGAACGCAGAGCTTGTCCCTGTGCGGCATAGGAAGTCACTTATTTTCGTAAAACGGCTGGGTTTGTGCCGTGGAAGGGATTACAGCAATCGGTTTTAAACACTTTGATGAACCTGGCAAGAAAACTTTTTTCTTTGATATACTCGACATGGTTATGTAAACATATTGCAGGTTGATTGGTCTATGGTTGTGGTGTAGTAGGTAGTATATCGGACTGTTGCACAGACGTTGTGTAGATCTACAGTTACAATGCTGCTTGGTCTTAGGACTTTTGTACAGACGTAGAATATATTTACAGTTACAATGCTTTTTTACTTTGTCCAAAATATAACCGAATTCGTTCCAATATGCTCCGTGCTGTTTGTCATATATTCGCTCCAAATATCAATTCCAACCTTATTGTAGAGCTCATGCCAAATGTTCTTGTCAAAATAATTTTATGTGGATTAGAAACTTTAAACGAAATTGAGAACAAAACATTATTTGACCATGTTGTTGAATATATCGTAAATTCAAACAGATTCTGACTATTACAGTTACAGTTACGATGCTGCTTGGTCTATGGTTGTGGTGTAGTAGGTAGTATATCGGACTGTTGTACAGTTGTAGTGTATATCTACAGTTACGATGCTGCTTGGTCTATGGTTGTGGTGTAGTAGGTAGTGTGTCGGACTGTTGTACAGACGTAGTGTAGATCTACAGTTACGATGCTGCTTGGTCTATGGTTGTGGTGTAGTAGGTAGTGTGTCGGACTGTTGTACAGACGTAGTGTATATCTACAGTTACAATGCTGCTTGGTCTATGGTTGTGGTGTAGTAGGTAGTATATCGGACTGTTGTGCAGGCGTAGTGTATATCTACAGTTACAATGCTGCTTGGTCTATGGTTGTGGTGTAGTAGGTAGTGTGTAGGACTTTTGTACAGACGTAGTGTATATTTACAGCTACAATGCTGCTTGGTCTACGGTTGTGGTGTAGTTGGTAGGACCTTTGTACAGGTGTAGGTTATATCTACAGTTACAATGCTGCTTGGTCTATGGTTGTGGTGTAGAAGGTAATATATCGGACTGTTGTACAGACGTAGTGTATATCTATAGTAACAATGCTGATTGGTCTATGGTTGTGGTGTAGTAGGTAATATATCGGACTGTTGTACAGACGTAGTGTGTATATACAGTTACAATGCTGCTTGGTCTATGGTTGTGGTGTAATTGGTTGTGTGTAGGACTGTTGTACATATGTAGTGTATATCTACAGTTACAATGCTGCTTGGTCTATAGTTGTGGTGAGGAAGGTAGTTTGTAGGACTTTTGTACAGACGTAGTGGATATCTACAGTTACAATGCTGCTTGGTCTATGGTTCTGGTGTAGTAGGTAGTGTGTCGGACTGTTGTACAGTTGTAGGGTATATCTACAGTTACAATGCTGCTTGGTCTATAGTTGTGGTGAGGAAGGTAGTTTGTAGGACTTTTGTACAGACGTAGTGGATATCTACAGTTACAATGCTGCTTGGTCTATGGCTGTGGTGTAGTAGGTAGTGTGTCGGACTGTTGTACAGGTGTAGTGTATATCTACAGTTACAATGCTGCTTGGTCTATGGTTGTGGTGTGGTAGGTAGTATATCAGACTGTTGTTACGATGCTGCTTGGTCTATTGGACATTTTACTGATTGTATTCAATCAACGAATTTGGATCAAGATCGCATTTAAAAAAAAGGATAGTTTGATTCCAAACAAATTAATGTCTGAGACATGGGAATATGGACACTGAACACAGAATTTCTCTTTAGACCTATGATTATGGATTTCTTTCATGAGAACATGTAAGGTTAGACCGGGTAAAAGTATTTTGATAAAATACTAACTAGCAAAGAATGTGTACCTGCAATATACATTTACCTGTAGTCGCGTCATTATTATAAGTGGAATCACGCGCTTTTAGTTTTTTTTATAGAAATAGTGGTAATCATACCTGCCGTACCTCTAATCAGCTGTCGGTCACATGCTAACTCGTGACTTGACGTTTTCTGATCTCACCTGTAACTATTTCCCGAACTCTGAAGTTTTCTAGTATTCTGTGATGTTTCATACACGTAGCCCCGGTTAGTGTGTAGAGGTGGGGTATGTCAATGTACTGGATTGTCAATTAAATGAGTAAAGTAATATAACAGGAAGTCAGTATAACGGGTAGACAGTGTGACAGGTAACAAGTAGTATAACAGGAAGTCAGTATAACGGGTAGACCGTGTAACAGGTAACTAGTAGTATCACAGTAAGTCAGTATAAAGGATTGACAGTGTGACAGGTAACTAGTAGTATAACAGGAAGTCAGAATAACGGGTAGACAGTGTGACAGGTAACTAGTAGTATAACAGTAAGTCAGTATAAAGGATTGACAGTGTGACAGGTAACTAGTAGTATAACAGGAAGTCAGTATAACGGGGAGACAGTGTGATAGGTAACTAGTAGTATAACAGGAAGTCAGTATAACGGGAAGACAGTGGGACAGGTAACTAGTAGTATAACAGTAAGTCAGTATAACGGGTAGATAATGTAACAGGTAACTAGTAGTATAACAGGAAGTCAGAATAACGGGTAGACAGTGTGACAGGTAACTAGTAGTATAACAGGAAGTCAGTCTAACGGGTAGACAGTGTGACAGGTAACTAGTAGTATAACAGGAAGTCAGTATAACGGGTAGACAGTGTGACAGGTAATTAGTAGTATAACAGTAAGTCAGTATAACGGGTAGACAATGTAACAGGTAACTAGTAGTATAACAGGAAGTCAGTATAACGGGTAGACCGTGTAACAGGTAACTAGTAGTATCACAGTAAGTCAGTATAAAGGATTGACAGTGTGACAGGTAACTAGTAGTATAACAGGAAGTCAGAATAACGGGTAGACAGTGTGACAGGTAACTAGTAATATAACAGTAAGTCAGTATAACGGGTAGACAGTGTAACAGGTAACTAGTAATATAACAGTAAGTCAGTATAACGGGTAGGCAGTGTGACAGGTAACTAGTAGTATAACAGTAAGTCAGTATAACGGGTAGACAGTGTAACAGGTAACTAGTAGTATAACAGTAAGTCAGT